CCCATTTGGCAGGATTGAGCGGAAGTACCGTCCCCTGTTGCTTTTTCGGGCAACTGTCTTGGGGGTAAAGTATGCTCCTAGGAAGCTTCTGGGCGAAGAGGTGAATCCTCCCTAAGGATATAACCGGACTACCATGCGCTTCTTAAGTGGGGAATCAGTCCACATGTTATAAGTCCAAATTCCACACCTCTCATCCGTCTTCAGATACCCTTCCATCCCTAGCAAACGCTGTTAGAGACAATAGCGCGCTTCTCAGAAGGGTTATAGACAGCCTTTCATCAAGACAGATCAAACACCAGAGAAATGAAGCGTATGGCATGGACCTGAGCTCAAGTTGTCTACTGTGCCTATAGTTAAGCAAAGGATCGAAAGTGTTCATTCCGTCTGTAGGCTTTCCGGCCTTGGCAGGTGTAAGAGTCACAAAGATGAAGCTCTCTGAACACCTCATTCATGGCCTCCGCCTCACCGAGCCTTACCGTACATTGTCGATATAGGGAGTCACGAACATGTGAGGGGAGAATGGATATTACTGTTATGCTTGTGAGGTGACTGATGTGATCGCGGTGTAGCTTCGCTTTCACCAAATTTTGTCATGGTAGGAAAGGTTTCCATTTGATACTATACCAATAGAGCACTGGATATTTCACCAGCAACGCTGACTTATCATTGGTTTTTAATCATTTCTTTTGAGGCGTATCTTTGGGGGTTTGCAAGCTCCCTGTTCAGGATCTCGCCTAGGAACTCGGCCCTTATCCTGCCGAGCCCTAGATACAACGAGCAGAGATCGCGAAAGGTGTATACACTGAAAGATCAATCAGTTATCATGCCTCCAACCTCATCGCACATGATTTCCGAAACCGATAGGAGTGATGATCTGACCTTATCGTGAGTGAAAGAGAAATGACCACAAAATTTTGGCCTGAACACAGCTGATTATTGTCCAGCAATCTTTCTTTGCAGGGTGAAGGGGTGTTAGCAGACCAAGATGTACAAGTATCTCCGCCATGCCCGCTAAACCACGAGCCATGCGAATTGGTATACATACCTCTCCAGCGTCAGTTAGAAGGTGTACCATCATATAGATATTCAACCATCCTCTCAGCAGAGGAGGCTGCCCAGAAAGTACAGGTGCTTCGTGAGTCGATCTCTAAGTACCATGACGGCCTCAAAAGGTGCTTAGTGGGAAAAAAGGATGGCATACTCAAGAAGTGGAAGAGTTGGACAACTGAAAGACGGCAAGCAACCATATTGGGTACATGCCCAAACATTGCCTCGAAGCGTTTCGTTCAAGATGTCCAACTCGGAAAGATCACCAATGCGTCATCCTTCCAAACGCAGTTCATGCTCTTTCCCATGACAACGGAAACATTTGCCGAAAATGTCAATGCGCTGTTGGGATTTACACACATGAGAACATCGACACGGCCTGAGGACTGTGTACCATTTGACTGGGAGCAGCTGCGGCGTGGTATCGATCTTTGTGCGTTCCCAGAGACTTTTGCGCCCGGCTGCGTCGCAGTCTTTGGTGACGAATTCGGTAATCTCGAGCCCTTTGACGAGGTTAAGGTCCACTGCAACGATGCCTTACCCACACCAGCTGCCTTGCTGGTCCTCGAACGACAGAGTATTATATATGAGATGCTATATAAGGTGGTGTTTCCGATTGCTAAAAGCACCATGGATGACAAAGGCTCAAGCAAATGGGACAATCTTGCTACACGAGACTTTCGAAAATGTGAAGACACTCATAATCTGTACCAGCATATCGATGGCATCGTCTTGTCCACAATCCCTGACATCTCTGTGATCTCCACGCTTGTTCAAGAACGTAAAGAATATTACGAGGATGAGCTGACTAGCCTTTCAAGCGACCTGGATTACTTCGTTTGCCTTGTTGCGGAGTTTCAGGAGATGCGTGATACCGATCCACGTCCAGAGCATGAGCAACCACAAGAAGCGACGGTGACAGTAGTGATAATTGGTGCATTCCAAGATCTTCTCTGCTGGCACTTTCTAAGCGAAGCTTTGACAAGGCTACTGGTAGTAATGCAAAGTCAGAAGAATCATCTGCGATGCGGCCAGCCTCGTTCGGTCCAATATCAGGAGGCATTCTCAAAGTTTTCGAGCTTGGTACAGCAAATGATATTCAAGGTACTAGACGACCTGCATGTCTTTTGCATCAGCTCGTCACTACTTATGAAACGTACGACACGCTCGAAGCGTCGCGCCCAGACCGAAGCACCCACGTCAGCATCTCCTTGGACTCTTATTGGCTATAAAAGTGATGAGGCACTGTGCAAGGCTGATAGAGTCCTGTGGCTGTTAACAAAGCTGTGGTCTGACTTTCGAAATATACCCTTCGTCCTGCCTGAATTGAATAAACTGCTCCTGAAGAAGGATGAAGGAAAGCGTGTCAACTTCCGGACAATGCATTCCCTCTCTGAGATCGGGGATCTCTGGCGATTGTTCGAGTTTTGTCGTTACCAACGCCCCGCAGTTCCTTACACCAATCAAGGTTTCCTGCAAGATGATGAATGTCTGACTTCTCGCTGTCTCGTGGCGCTGCAGAGGGGAGAAATTCCAGCGGATATGTTGCGGCAAGGCCTCCTCGACCGTCAATATGAAGAATTGAGAGGTGCCAGACAAGCAAGCGGGGAAAGGAGAGCATCGTTGCCTGCGGTAGAAAAGAGTCGGCGAGAGCTGCAAGATACCGTCTATCTGGCACTTGTCTTGTTTCTCGAAATGCTCAAAGAAGCAGGTCTTCATGTCGACGATGTTCGCCGTGTAGAGAATTTACTCACCCCTGATACGGCCAGATTCTCCACAGTAGCCCCGCCGAGCAACCATAATACGGAAGTCTCGCCTCCTCCAAGAATGGTAACAATCGCGGAAGCTTTTGTGCCTTTCCCACAAGAGCCAGAGGTTCCTTTCAAGAAGAAAAAGCTTTCGATTGCGGATAAAATTAGTGGACATGCCGAAGGGGCGCCACTTGCGGTACAGCTACCTCGGCCTACGCCACCAGGCCCAGGTGAGATTTACCGGCTTCAGGCCAGGGCATACAAACTTGTCGACCACCTCTTCCCAACTGGACGTCGACCACAAGGTCAAGTGACATTCCAAGATTTCGGCCGCTTCATGGCTGCAATCGGGTTTGGACAGGTCGCCCTGGGTGGTTCAGAGTACCGCTTCTACAAAGCGGGTGAGGAGCCTCAAGCTGGCCAGAACATCGTAGTCCACAGACGTCACTCGCATCCCTCATATAGGGCCAGTGACTTGAGAATGATTGGCCGTCGACTGACAAGGAGGTTCGGATTGACTGCGGAGACATTCGAGCTGCAGTGAGCAATTTCTGACTGTGGCTTATCGTCAAGCGACGAGGTAAATGGGAATGAGGTGGATTGAAGGATTTCAGCAAGAGAATCACCATCGGACAATTCAGCGAATCGTAAGTAGGAACTGGAGGGCTGATCGAAGCTTGTAACGTTTTCGCAGACGGACTGTGACTACCAATGTTGGATTGAAAGCTTGAATCGCATCTGCAAGGCGTTCGTGAGCAGGAGCTTCAAATAATATTAACCCTGTTACTTCATCTCGAGGGCAGATCATCCGGCTTGTGCTTCATCTTACGATGATATTCTGCGACTCTAATCCCTGATATTTTGCCTTGGACGTTTCTGTGTTGGTGTCCTTTTGTTTGAGTCTTTTCGAAGGTCCTTCGGTCTATCCCAAAAAAGCAGGGCCAGCCGGCGGCTCTGGCTCGTCCTGATTGTGGATGAGGCGAGTGCAATTTTAAGGATGAAGAAGATCCTGTACGTAGTAAGAGCTTAAATTTAACTGGCCAGATGCTACATAAACCAAATATGCGAAGCAGCTTCAGTTGCTTGGCCATACGGCGGAAATGACACTTTCTAATTCTACGACATGCAACATAGACAAATGACGAGGTAAAGAGCCACATCTGTAGATTTTGTGGAGTCTATTGTCATACATTGCTCAACTTAAGACCACGACCTCATATCTCAGAGCCAGGCGGCTGTCGTAGTCCTTGATAGTGAGGGAGCTCGGATGGAAGACCAGCAATCGACTTGTGCCTTGCTATGCTGTTGCGTGTTTTGTATGGCATTGTGTTGGAAAGACCCTCGAATTTGATGATCCTGATCCCGTAGTTCGCATTAAATAAACACCTAGCCTACCCTCACCCATGCTCTCTCTATCCGCAGCTGCCACACTCTGGCGCTCTCACATCATCAATACCCATGGTCCGCCTCGGTGCACCACCAGGTCTTCCACCGCCTCCACTACCTGGGCCCCGAGGGCTACTACCTGATCCCGCTGGGCCCCTTGGGTTTGTCCCTGAGCTCCACCTCGGCCGGTTCTGAGATGCGTTTGGTCGTCCACGGGTGTTGAACTGAGATGACTCGGCTGCGGCGTAGGGGTCAAGCTGTAAAAGATGAGCGTTAGTGGTTGTGCATGCGTTCGTGGGCACTGGACTCATACAGAGAGTAAAGAGACAAAGTAGAGGCCGAAGAAGTTGTACACGTTATCGAACTGTTGAGACAGGCGCACGGAGAGAGGTGGACTGTTAGAGTGAAGGTCAGTGATGAGGTAGGGATGCTCGAAACAGAAGGGTAACCAACGTCTCGAGCACTTGTCCGTTGGACATGTATGTCCTGTTCGGTGAAGTCATTTCTGACCACAAATGCTTTACTGGTGTCGTTAAGTAATTCGTGAATCCGCTTGTTCGAAGAACCAGCACGCTGCAAGTGTCAAGATATCCGCAACCTTGAAAGAGTGATACAAAATGAAGTAGTTAGGCAGTACTACGGAGTACTACGTACAATTACGACAAGTCGTGGTTTGCAGGCCCGGCCAATGCTAAGGCCAGCAGCTGGGGCAAGCTTGGCGTAATATATCCCGGACGTGCTCTTTCCGTCCAGTCCAGATATCTAAGAGCATTGCATCAATTCGTAGAATAGAGGCTAGAGAGTGCTGACTGTATGATGGCGAAGGTGAGCCGCCGTCTGTTTCTGTGGAGTGTTGAATTCTTATGAAGATATAGAAGCGAAAGCATGAATCTGATGTGCCAGTGCAAGCAAACGGAAAGCTACCAGATACCTCCAAACCTACAGCTGTCTACAGGCCCACTGGGGGACGCACGAATACTATAAGCGTAGCTCTACCGGGTAGTATCATTGCAAAGTAGGATCGCGTATACACTCCATCAGAGGTCATCTCCTTACCCTATCGTTAGTGCACAATCTCACGACCAGAAAACCTACCTCGCCGGCACAATTGCCAGGGCGTTAGCAGTATTCTGCGTCGACGAAGTCATCATTTTCGAGGATGAACCTCACCGCGCATCAAAAGGCTCGATCCAAGACGATGTCGACCAGGACAGATACACAGCCTTCTCCGACCCCTCACACTTCCTCGCCCACATCCTATCGTACCTAGAGACGCCCGCCTACCTCCGGAAAGCCCTTTTCACGATGCACCCCAACCTTCGCACAGCAGGCACACTCCCTAGCCTCGATATGCCGCATCACCTCCGGTCCAATGAGTGGTGCGAGTACCGTGAAGGCGTGACCATCGACGAGCCAACGAGACATGGCAGCAAAGTTGATGTTGGGCTTCCCCAGCGGTACACTATCCCCGCTGTACAGATCCCGCCAAAGACGCGCGTGACGTTGCATCTGAGTGAGATGAGCACTGAAGCCGAGGCTGTATCTCCCTCTGAGCCCAAGGAGGAGGCGGGCTATTATTGGGGTTATTCTGTCCGGAGGTGTTCGTCGTTGTCTACTGTCTTCACCGAGTGTCCCTATGATGGAGGTTATGATGCTTCGTTTGGCACTTCGGAGCGGGGGAAGCTCATCTCAGAGGTTTGGGAGAGCACACCGGCTAAGCCTGAGCATATGCTTGTAGTGTTCGGGGGTGTGGCTGGGCTCGAGGCAGCCGCAGAGGCTGATCCCGAGCTTAGCGCTAAAGGTATTACTTCTGGAAATGTCAGTGAGTTGTTTGATTACTGGATCAATGTCCTGCCGGGACAAGGGAGCCGCACAATTCGGACTGAAGAGGCGGTATGGTTGAGTTTGATGGACTTGAGGGATCTTTTTCATGTCGCGCATGGTGGTTGAGATAGGCTGGATGCTGAGTAAGACTTGCCTCGTCTGATGCATATTCTCAGCTCACCCATTGAAACTCAATGCCAGCCTGGCTATCTCATGGTTCGCCTCTAGCGAAGCTCTACGAGCCATTGGAATATTCCTCCGCAGGCACGCTCCTGGGCCTCGCCACATATACCTTATTATTTTACTTGCTAAACAGGTAAGTAGCAACTCAAGGCACGAGTATGCAACAGAAGGATGTCAAACTAGGCATGTCTAAGAGATAGCCTTAACGTTGAAGCATCAGTTGTTGCACCTTCGCCCTTTCAAAGCAGCCTCTGAAAAAAGACTGCAAGCCGTTGAGAAACAGAGCAGGTATTAGGATAGGGAATGGGCCAAAAGGGTGAGCTTTAAATAGCCACAGAGTTGGTTGGGGCAGGCGATTGGACACCCAGCATAGGAACATGTCCCACACGCATGTATAAGACCGCTCTTTGACTAGCTAGTTATGTTGCAATCCTCGTTGAGAGGCATACTTACCATCTATATTCCAAGTATAACGCCGCACAATGCGTCCGTGATATTTCTGTAGAGTCACAAACCAAGTCTAGCGCCATGCGGTTTCGAAGATTTAAATAGACATTCCAGAGACGGACTGCTCGGCCATTGCGGCCGCTGCAGTTTCGTGACGACCCGCTTTTCGCTTCTTCAATACATTCTCAATGAAAGCCTCTCCGGCTTTGTAAGAGCTTCGCACCAGAGGACCACTTGCGCAGTAAAGGAAACCCATACCCAGAGCTCTCTGCCTCCAGAGCTCGAATACCTCAGGTGTCACATATTCGTGGACTGGCATGTGCCTTTTTGTCGGTCGCATATATTGGCCGAATGTGACGACGTCGACGTCTATCCTCCTTAATTCCCTCAAGGTTGCCCAAAGCTGTTCCTCGTTCTCGCCAAGACCAAGCATAATAGAAGTTTTGGTGATCAGGCTAGGTCTGGCAGCTTTGGCCGCTTCCAGGACGGCCAGAGACTGTCGGAACTTCGCTCTTCGGTCGCGGACTTGTGGCGTTAGGGCCTCAACTGTTTCGACGTTATGCGCATAGACGTCAAGACCACTTCGAGCCACCAAGGACACCATCTCCAGATCTCCGGCATAGTCGCCGGTCAAGCATTCGACTAGCATTCCGGGAGCTTTCGATTTGATCTTCATAACGGTCTCGGCGAAATGTCTTGCACCGCCATCAGCAAGATCATCCCGATCCACTGAGGTTAGCACCACGTAGCCTAGACCCCACCTGGACAGCGCTTCTGCAGTGTGTTCCGGCTCATGAGGATCGAGTGGAGGCGGGGCTTTCGAGGTCTTCACACTACAGAATCGACATCCTCGTGTACAGGTGTCTCCCATGAGCATGATTGTGGCAGTAGCTTGTGATTTTGAGCTCCCCCCCCAACAATCTGAGATATTGGGACAACGTGCTTCTTCACACACAGTATGTAAGTTGAGTCCCCGGAGATCATTTTTGATCTTCTTGTAGTTCGAACTGTCCGGTATGGGTGTTTTGAGCCAAGAGGGTAGGCGTGTGATTTCTTTCTGTTTCCCCTTCGGACCCACCATAGCAGTCTTCAGCGCGTAGGCCTCCGGCGGCTCGAGTGGTGGTTCATTGCCGCCAACAAAGTCCGAGAAGGATGGACCGGTGTTGAGCTTATCTACGAACTTTGTTGGCCGCACTCGAGGCTTGTGTGTTAGTGATTCGGTTGCAGACGGCTCGTTGATTGCGGTGGCAAAGGAGCGTGAGGCGCGCGATATAGGTGCGATGGACGGTAGAAAGACGCTGAAAGGTGACGGCGATACAAGACCATGTAAACATCGAGGTCTGCTCAGGGGCGCTGCCATGACTTTTTTTACCTGTATGGAAAACGGTGTGGTTTGGAGTGAGGAGGGGAGGATTACGTAGTACGGAGTACTGCTGTGGAATTGGCCACCACCGCCCGAGGAAAAAGCTCGGTTAAACACGTGTTGGACAGAGAGCATCATCATACAGCTGCTAAAAGAATCGACTTTACCAGACGGCTTAAGTTTGCATCACACGCCAACTCGCCTGGATCCTCGACGGGAGTACTTATGGGTACATCGTTGCAAGCCTTGTCACGCATTGAGTTTTCGAACCTTTTCCCAACGAACCTACCACTTTTTCCACCTTGCTCTACCGCATCGATAGACAAATTGCGATCATCACCGACTTTTCGCCTGGCACCCTTCCATATCACTTCTTGCGGATTACCTTGACATGTCTGTCTCCGTAGCGGCGGACGCCTCCACACATTCAATTCGTTCGCTCTACCGATCATTATTGCGGCAATCGAACCAATTCGCGAGTTATAATTTCAGAGAATACGCGAGGAGAAGAACCAGGGATGCATTTCGAGAACATCAGAAAGAGACAGATCAAAGAAGAATACAGGAGCTGGTGCAGAAGGGCCTGAAGGAACTGCAGGTGATAAAGGTAGGCCAGGAGTCTCTTCAGACACCTTTTCGCCCGTATCTGTTCCTCCCCAACCACCAGCGGCATGCGGCCCTTGACCGTCGAGATTTCTTTGTGAAGAGCTTATCCTGGTGCACGAGCTGAATTTTCTTCTGCCCTTAGAGACAGACAGTTGTTTCACAATTCTTCCAGCTTGATCGATTAGTGGTGGAGGGACAGAAAACTGTAAGCTCGTCATTACATATGCTGGTTACCTGAACTTGGTCTAACACCCATCTTCAGGGCAGACAGACTGGCAAAGAAGGAGACATCATTCGGCAGAAAGATACTGGGTAGGCACATCATCTCCATTGCACAAGGTCTGTCTGCTAAGAACCTCTCCAGGTGGGATTAGCTGTAATTGATAAAAATCATGCATTTGTATCACTTGGATTGTTAAGCTGAACAGCAGTTTCGCATGAACCCCCTTGCTAGCTCTCACCTATATATATTGCCCAGTATCGATCGTTGATCAGCAGTGCCCTGAACATAAGCTCTGTGCTTCCACCTCCTGAAGTGCCAAGACCAATACCTGCTTCTGCTAGTAGGGGCCATCTATATTGCCACCACATTATAGATGATGTCCAAAAGTCTCTCATAAACGCAATGGTATAGAGTTTCTGAGTACTCTCTAGAGTGTATGTGGTAGTAGCCCATAGAAGGAATACGGTACAATAGTCTTGTCTATCTCAACGCTGCACAGGCCAAGACTGAAAGGTCAGCCCTGGTGCAAGGAGCTCCAATGTGGGCCTAGCACCGGCACGGACCGATGATAGCCGTAGTACTACTATATTAATGCATCAACACCAGATCGATCTCTCTCAATCTGTTTCTATCTTCTCTTTATCATCTTCAACCTCCACCCGCCTCGCGTACTTCTGCACATCGCAAGAGTGTAGATATCTTCTGGTTAGTGGTTGAGGGAAAGACTTCGTTTCCGGTGTTTACAATATTTCTCGGCGTTCCCGCCCAAAATGGCACCTGTAAGTTTGTTTTCTCTAGTTATGGAAACTTTGAGTTCACGAGTACGCTGTCACAACCTTTGCAAAAGAATCACCTCACTTCTCTTGAATTTGATATACTGTCATGGCTCCCCCTGTACGCTTCGAGTGCTTCCTGTGCGATAGAACCTTCTTGCGTCAAAAGAGACTGGATGACCACCTTCGAGAGCAGCATGGCCGGACACCTGTCTGGGACAAGCCGCTCTCTCGGCCGTCGCCTGCTCCTTCTGTGAGTACTGAATATGATGAAATGGGTGTCTTCCTTGCTTCATGTCTTAGCCCTGAGTGCTGCTTGCAGTCGGCCTGCTTTCACAGACCATTTTCTGGCAGTATATCCAGCGGTTCCTCTAGACGACTATACTGATGCTACTACCAAATATATCCTGGGCATGTCTTTGGGAAGGCTGCGCCCTTGGCAGCATGAGTGGCTTATGAGGTTTCCGTCATTACTCCACTTCTGACCATCTTCCCTGTTACCATTTCCGTCAATTTTCTGCTCTTCTTTCGCTCCTAACACTGGCACACTCGAACATACTGACCAAAACCTCTATCAACAGCTTCGTTCTTCTCGTTCCAACCGCCATTTACAGCAAGACACTGGCGCTCAAGGTCGAATTCGTGGCGGAGTTGTTGATCATGACCCTATGGAAGGCCTACCGGTGCGTCGATGGGAGAAGATGGAAGTTACCATCAAGCAGGGTGTGAAGAACGACGACAAGAATGATGATGGCAAGGACGGCACCAATCCAGACTGGCCATGGCCTGATCTACCTTTGCCCAAGGACTTTCCTTTATTGCCTCCCCATAGCCAAGTACGACCTTCCCATTAGTCCCATCCTTCTAAAAGTTCATAAGCTTACTGGTGTTCTATAGGAGCTCCTCCGACGTGCGCGTGCACCCAACAAAAACCCGAACATTGCAGTCTTCAACCGGGAGACGGGCGAATATGAACGTCCTAATCTCAATCCTAGTAATCCAGCTGCGATGACACCTGTCACCACCACCCAGCCCGCATCCGGAGCAGCTAAAGATGGCGATCATGACATAGCTGAACCCGAAGACACACTTGACGCCGACAAGCCCCTCCACGACGAATCCAACGAACGATCATTCACCATCAGAAAATGGGTTCCTCTCCCCCAACACATCGCCGACAAGAAACCCGAGCCCAAATATCTTGCTGATCGCCGACCTGGCCTTCCACCTCTCTATGGCCATCAATCGAGCACTAACCCATCCAGTTCTGCTTTCACAGGCTACGCCCCAAACATCTCATCTACCCTCCAGAACCCGAGCAACAATAACCACAACACCAATACAGGTGGTGGTGATGTCGTCGTCGGCGCCGTGACCGTCCCTACAAACTACACGCCAACCACATCCGGCTACCGCGTTTCAGCTGATGGCACAACAATGCCAATGGGTCCTGGAATCGCTTCAACGCAAGCACAAGGAGAAGCTCCGAGGAGAAGACCACCACCCCCGCCACCGAAAAGGAGGAAGAAGGGTGGACCTGGCAGGAGCAAGAAGAGGGTTGACATGAAGAACTCTGTTATTGGAGGGGCTGCCGCCGGTGCCGGGTTGGCTGGAGATACTACTGCCAGTGCTGCAGGCGTTGCTGGAGGAGGAGTCGAAGCAGCTGTCGCTGTACAAACAGGCACTACGAATACGGGAGAGCCTCGCCCGGAAGGCCAGCAACAAGGTGCTGCTGCTGACAGCAAAGCCAGGGACATGGATACCGAGATGGGTGAACCGGAAGAGGAAGGTGGGAGCAGCGGCGGTGGCAGCAGCAGCAGCAGCAACAGCAGCGAGGACGAAGGAGGAAGCGAGGAAGGCGAGATTGATGAGGGCGGCGTTGGCAATGCTGCAGGTGGAGCTACGGAGGCGGCACCAGAGGTGTCCGTTCAGCCTCCCAGTCCGGATCTGTTGGGGAATCTGGAGAGTGAGATCCGCGGGATGGAGGAGGGGGGACCTGCTGTTTAGCCGCCTGTTTAGGCATGTAGTTGATTGGGAGGAGTAGATAGCTCAATGGAGAAATTTCCCGCTTCGAGTTTTGGTGGCTTGATTCCTTTGTGTGAGAATGGTAAAAACAAAGAATCATGCGGTTCTTCTGTAGATTCACGTATGCAATCGAAGGGCATCAGGGGGTCTTGAACTTGCAATTTCAAGAAAAGAGTTCAGAATAGTTGGAAAGCCTCCTGCTCTTCAATACATATATTTTTTGTTTTAAGGTGTTGAGATGCGCTACAGGCCATCAGGATATTTAGATATTGACATGATACCGTTCTTGCAACGGGCCTGCAAATCAAGATGATAGAGGAAAATATGTATATTCATCTGAACGGTCGGTCACCGGCACTATCTATCTGTATTTGAACTTGCACAGGAGGAGAGTGTGAAGATAGGGATATCAAGAAATGGAATGTCGATGCAGTGACCTCTGACTCTTTTGGGCCGGAATGCGATATCAGGGGGAGTATGATGGGAAGTACAAGTTAACATCTTTTCAAAGAAAGGTGGACGTTCTTGAGGCCCTTGATGAAGGCTGTTATGGATCAGTTATGGATAAAGAATGTGAAAGTCGATAAGAAATTCACCGACACTTTTCGTCTAGCGTCAGGTGTTATGTAAAGTCGAATGAGAAGGCACAAGCCATGGCCACAAGATACAGGGCGGGTGTCCTCCAGCTCCCAACAAGTTTAGTCGACCGAAAACATGGGTATCATAAACTTCCGAATCAATCCATAAGCAATTCCTCCACCTCCCTCTCCGTCAGCCCTAACAGATAAACCAAGTCCAACATGCTCTCCCCAACATTCAACCTCGCAGGTGCCTCCATCTGGACTTTGCTCTTCGCTTTCCACGCGACTCCCAACCCGGCAGCCTGGAGCATGGGGATGTCGTTCGCGCCGTCACCTACCGCCATTGTCTGTTCGACGCTGAGACCCTCGCCGGTCATGAGGGAGAGGAGGAGATTCTGTTTGTGATGGGCGTCGACGATGGGGTGGGCAGCGTCGAGTTCCCCAGTCAGCGTGTTTGTGCCGGGGTCTGAGACGAGGTGATTTGCGAATGCATAGTCCAGATCTAATTGGGCAGCAAGCCAGTCGGCTAGGGGTTGGAAGCCGCCGCTAAGGACGGCCAGGGTGAACCCGAGGCGCTTGAGCACCTTGCAGAGTTCCTTCGCGCCTGGCGTGATTGTGATCTTTGGTTTGAGACGTTCGAAGACGTCGCTGGGCACACCTTTCAGCAGTGCGACGCGGGCTTTCAGGCTGGCGGCGAAGTCAAGCTCGCCGTTCATGGCGCGGGCAGTTATCGCGGAGACTTCTTTTTCGACGCCGATGTAGGCTGCGATCTCATCGATGACTTCTTGCTGGATGAGGGTTGAATCCATGTCGAACACACAGAGCCGCTTGTAGCGGCGGAAGATAGTTTCGCGTTGAAAGATTACCTCGCAATTCCATTCTCGTTCAAAGCGATAGATGGATTCGTGTTTGCAAAGATCAGAGAAGGTGAGGTATTTGGGGTTAGGAGGCGGAGCAAAACTAACTTCCATTATCCGAGGATGAGTTGATGAAGGACTAAGACAACGATGAGAGGAGGTGAGCCGACGCAGGGCTGGTGGATTGTGGGCAAGGAGGGAATCGATGGTGGAGAGGAAATGTGTGAGGCATATTTGAGATACATAGGGACCGTAAAGGTGATCGAGAGGTTCAGGATCCGGCGGAGGGGGTTCGAGTGGATAGTTGGAAATATCTGTTGTTGGCGCGGAGCCGGATGCTATGGTCGGTGGTGGTAAAGCTGGTCTGGCCTCGGGTACAAGATTGGGTAAGATATGATCTGGATGGATCTGCGGATGCCGTGGTAAGGCTGAGTTGTAGAAGATGGTGGCAACAATTTTTGATGGGTCTTCCGGGGGTGATATACAGTCAGCATGCGATATGCTATGGACTATGCCACTATCTCTGATGATTAAGGAAGGAGATGGAGGTATGGCGACAGGGCTGTGCGAGGTGCGAGGTGCGGTGGAGAGATTCGAAAGGGATGCGCCTGGCTGCTCAAAGGGTGCTTCAAGGACTCCATCGATGCTGGAACTAGGACCTGGGTGTACGGACTTGTATTGCTGGTGATCATCGATAAAGGAACCACTGCTCATCGAGTTCCGTCCAAGCCTGGGCCGCGTAGCTCGAGCTCGAGCGCGAGGAGATGGTGAGGGGTCCATTGTTGATGCTCTGATGAGGATGTCGATCGTCACACTTGCATCACAGATCCGATTGAGTGTGTTGCCCCAAACAGCTCTACCCACAAGGACCAAAGGACCAATGGACCAATCTACCTCACGCAGCCTGCCAGTGGTTAGGCATCTGGCTAGCCCTGAGTATTGACCTTGTACTCCGTACTCGACCGCAGTCTACTACCGCATGCTCGTACCTGCGTGGATCAGGCCAAAGATTGATGCCATGACCACCTAGATGTCACTGTACGTAGTAAGTTTCTAGTTAGCTGCAGTGGGGGTCTAGGCATGTGCCACTGACCCGATCTCGGCCAAATTTAACTAACTACTAGTAGGGAGTCGTGCCCCAAAAGTACGTACTACGTAGTACTACTCCGTACTAGTAGTTGAAATACGCTAAGAGATAGTTTGCCAAGGTAAAGAGATGAATTTGTCTTGACACTTGATCTTGTAGTATCATTCTAAATATTCCAGAGGCTGAAGTCTATAATCAGCTTAAAACGTCACAAGAGATGTCATTATTATGTTCCTTAGGCAACCACTGTTCTATGGTAAGTTGGCAGCAAAATCAAATGACTAGGGACCCAGGGTCATCTGAAGCTGTAATATTTAGGGCGTTAGCAGGCCCAAAGCTTATGGAGGAGTCAAATGACATAATTGGGAAGAGTGCACTCCTTGGCGCGTATCTCCTTAGCGTATTTCATCTACTTTTGGGGCACGACTCCGTATTACTACAGTACTAGTAGTAGTAATGCGAGTTTCGATCTAACTGGGGAGGATTGGACCGAAGTGTCGTTAATTTTACCACAACAACAATCCAACCACTTCCTGCTCGCAAATATCACCCACACCATTGAGCTTTCCAGGAGTCATCTGTCGAAGATTGGACACAGCATGAAGAATCTATTGGGGTCTGAATATCACTGTCATGTCTGAAGACCGAGTCTCCACCATGCTGCAAGGCCCGGATAACTCATCCAGCAGCTGTCCGCGGGCGGGCTGACAGCAGAACCATGCTTTTGACACTCTATGACAAGGCGTGATTGGCCTATTGTGCCATCTTTGTCCGCGAGTTCTTTCCTCTTATCCGCGATGGGAAAACGGCGTTTCATTCTTAGTCATACCAATTTGTGCTTGCAAGCGGAAAAAGGGAGAAAATCTCTGCGTTCCAATTGGTCTTGGCAATCACGCAATCCAATCCTCGATGCCATAACCGATGGCGATGAAAGCCTGCCCTATGGTGCAAAACGAGTGATTTCCAATCCACCATGTATTTCAGGTTAACGGCCTGCGGGTGCGCCATGCCGCTTATTTCCTTAATTACTTGTTTCTGCTGTCGAGAGAGATCTCTTTTCGATCCCTTTCCTCGCACCCATTTCCTGCCAGACACACATCCTATCTTGTCCCTTAATCACAAAATCCTTCCCACACCGACATCAGCAGACAGCCATCATGTCGTCACGGACCTCGTCTCCTTTCTCCCCTGTCTCGGGCGTCAATACTCCCAAAGAGGCCGATTCTGGATACTCTAGCGGAACAGCTTGCGAGGTGGCTGTGCCAGAGGTGTACTTTTCCAAACCACATCTTCAATTCCTCAACCGACAGTTACAGTTCCTCGAGCCGCAGGAAATCCTAAAGTGGTGCATTACCACACTCCCCCACTTATACCAGGCGACCGCCTTCGGCCTGACTGGTCTGGTCACACTGGATATGCTTTCGAAGATGAAGATACCCCGCCCGCAGATGGTTGACATAATCTTCTTTGATACGCTTCACCATTTCCCCGAGACACTCTCACTGCTAGACAAAATCCAAGACAGATACCCGTTGGTGAATGTCCACATATTCAAGCCTGCCGGAGTCAACACAGCACAAGAGTTTGCCGTCAAACATGGAGATAAATTATGGGAAGAGAACGATCAGCTTTATGACTGGATCGCCAAGGTTGAGCCTGCCCAGCGAGCATACCGAGAACTTGGTGTCAATGCCATCCTGACAGGACGACGAAGAACACAAGGCGGACAAAGAGGAGACCTAGACGTTATAGAGGTGGACGAAGTGGGTCTGATCAAGGTCAATCCGCTTGCCAATTGGACCTTCAAGCAGGTTCACGACTACGTCAAGAATAACCACATCCCTTATAACGAGCTTCTGGATCGTGGCTACAAGAGTGTGGGGGACTGGCACTCAACGCAGCCCATCAAAGAAGACGAAGACGAGCGAGCTGGTCGCTGGAAAGGTCAACAAAAAACCGAATGTGGCATCCATAATCCTCGATCGAAGTATGCGCGGTTTTTGATGGAGCAAGAAAAGAAGAAAGAGCAAGAAGCAGTTCAGCAAGCCCTGCATAAGGTCGCGCTACAAGCATAGACCATACATATTGGATATCTACAGTTCAGCATAGCGGCGGCGTTGGGTATATGTGAACGCATGACAGCATTAGCGGGAGAGAAGTAGTACCCTGGATATGTGGCATGAGAAATGATCCAAGGAAATGACCATGTCCAAATTTTTTCTGGCCTAGAATAGAGTATCCTTGTCGTGTGAGTTGCTCAGCCATTTTTGTCAACCATTGTGGTGTGGCAGATTGCTGTATCTCCTCCACCGATCTCGCAGTTACTACGTAGTACACATTCCCCGCGGTTGTTCATGGCCCGATACTAGTATTGCGTGATCTACGGCACGACGGCATTTCGCTAGGACAGGTAATCTGTCAATTGGCAGTGGGTAAACTTTTTCTGAAGGATCACGCCCAGGTCGTATTGGGCTTACCTGAATGATCCTGTTCAATTTGTCAACCCGTACTCTTCTTCTGCCCGTTGCTTTCTCTGTGTCTTGCTTGATCAATAGTAAGGCATAAGGTCAATTTCCATCAACTCAAAATCCTAGCCGGAATAAACCCAACTTCGGCTTCCGGCACGGTAAAAATAATGGTAGGTTTTTACCCCTCTCGATCTTCAAATCTATCCGTTTATGAGCTCTCACTCTCCTTCGCAAAATGTTTCTAAATATCGGGAAGAGACTGAATTATAGTGCGACGCATCCTGCCTATTCTATCGTCCCAGCGCGACTACTGATCCGGTGCATTTCAATAGGATCCGACAGCTAACCCTCCTCATGGCGGAGTCTTGAAAGACCTGTTAGCCCGCGATGCTCCTCGACACCAGGAACTCTCTGCTGAAGCCGAGACCCTTCCTGCTATTGTCCTCAGCGAGCGGCAACTATGCGATCTGGAGCTGATCATCTCCGGAGGCTTCTCACCGCTCGAGGGGTTTATGAGCCAGAAAGACTATGACGGTGTGGTCAACGATTTACATCTGGCGGATGGGAAGCTTTTTAGCATGCCAATCTGCTTGGATGTCACGAAAGAAACTTTAGAAGCGAAGAAGATAAAGCCAGGCGCAAGAATTACACTTCGAGACCCTAGAGATGACAGCAATCTTGCCATTATCTCAGTAGAGGATGTATATCAGCCAGACAAGCAGAGGGAGGCTCAAGAAGTTTTGGGTGGAGACCCTGAGCACCCGGCAATAAAGTATCTCTTTGAAAAGACGCACGACTTTTACGTGGGAGGAAAGCTAGACGCTGTCAATCGCCTCAACCATTACGATTATGTTGCTCTTAGATATACACCATCCGAGCTCCGTACCCATTTTGAGAAGCTAGGCTGGAGTAGGGTTGTGGCATTTCAAACTCGAAATCCAATGCACCGTGCTCATCGCGAGCTCACTGTGAGGGCTGCTCGTGCCCGCCAAGCTACTGTCCTCATTCATCCGGTGGTTGGTTTGACCAAACCGGGCGACATTGACCACTTTACTCGTGTTCGTGTCTACCAAGCCCTAATGCCTCGATACCCTAGCGGCATGGCTGTGCTAGGCCTGCTGCCATTGGCCATGCGAATGGGGGGTCCAAGAGAAGCTATCTGGCATGCCATCATCCGGAAGAACCATGGAGCTACACATTTCATTGTCGGTCGTGATCATGCCGGCCCAGGTAAGAACAGCGCTGGAAAGGATTTCTATGGGCCGTACGATGCACAACACGCAGTTGAGAAGTACAAAAGCGAATTGGGTATCGAAGTGGTGGATTTCCAGCAGATGACCTACTTACCTGATAGTGACGAATATCGACCGAAAGACGAAGTTCCCGCTGGCACCAAGACCCTTGACATATCTGGAACAGAGCTAAGAAGAAGGCTGCGCGTCGGAGCGGACATACCTGAGTGGTTTTCGTACCCTGAAGTAGTCAGAGTCTTGCGAGAATCCAATCCACCAAGAGCCACTCAAGGATTCACCATCTTCTTCACCGGTTACCAGAACAGTGGCAAGGACACAATAGCCCGAGCTCTGCAGGTGACGCTGAATCAACAAGGTGGGCGGCCGGTGTCAATGTTGTTGGGCGAGATCGTCCGTGCAGAGCTATCTTCTGAACTCGGATTTTCAAGAGAAGACCGGGACGAGAACATCGGAAGGATCGCTTTTGTTGCTTCAGAGCTGACCAAGGCAGGCGCCGCGGTTATTGCAGCTCCTATTGCGCCATTTGAACAAGCTCGGGCCGAAGCGAGAAACCAGATCAGTCAATATGGTAGCTTCTTCCTCGTCCACGTTGCCACCAGCTTGGAATACTGTGAAAAGACTGATAAGCGAGGGATGTATGCAAAGGCGAGAAAAGGGGAGATCAAAGGCTTCACTGGTGTTGACGATCCGTATGAGGCACCAACCGATCCTGATCTGACGGTTGATTTTGAGCACCAAAGCGTGAGGAATATTGTGCATCAGATCGTATTGATGCTGGAAAGTCTAGGCTTCTTGGAGCAGCTATGATGTGGGATTGTGAAAGTGAATAGAACATAGATAATAGGTATAGACTGCAGCTATCCTGCGAAGAAGACATTAATATAAATATAATGTCATGTCACCTGTGCAGGCTTCAAAGCAGCGCTTTCTCATTTCTCGTCCATCAGATTGTATGTCAGTATATTTGATTTAATATAAATGTCGAATCATGTCTGGGCTGATCTGGGACAGCAGTCAATTCTGACATGCTCCCCCGGCCCCCTGCTGCTGTTCCTTGGACGGCTTCTCAGCCGCTAACTAGTTCCACGTTGCGGGCGACCGGAGCTTGTCGTGGTTACATAACGGTTTTTTGGGGGGGTCGTTGACATTTGGACAAGTCAATTTCAGTCTCACAACAAGGCGAACTCTCTCTCCGTCCCCGGATCTGTACGGACAATACTTGAGAAATGATTCTATCGATCCTCCATCATTGACATGCAAGTCGGAGGTGGCCTTGGTGGCAGTGGCCGATCACGCTATTCCTCATAGCTGGATCCCACCTACCTTCGAATCTCTCCCCCCTCGGTGGAAGCTCAAATGAACGCCGTACGACAGAAATGTCGACCCAAGCATCAGGTACTGGTGCTCAAATGCTATCCCAGGTTCCAGAAGAATGTGCAAGAAGTCAAGCCGAACTCCAGCGAACTCAGCTATCTGCTCTATTATGCAAGTACGCGACGGAGCAAGCTCCAAAAGGTTGGCTCATTTCTGGAAAAGAGGACGGCTAGTGATGTGTGGAAGCAGAGACTTGGGTAGGGACACGGCAACTAGTCCCTCACACCAATTGATGTTTTGCTGATATGTATACAGGAATGTTCAGGTCACTCTGCAAATCCTCTCAGCTCTTATGGAGAAGGCGCCACGAGATCTCCCGCTCTACTCCGACTCTGTCTTGACTATCCTAGAAACTGTTCTCAAGTCGAAAGATATCAACATGGTCGAAGAGTCATTGGCCACCTTTGAGACCTACTGCAAATACCAAGATGTATCCTCCCTCGCATCCGATCAATACAGATCGCAGCAATATCAGAACATCGTCAACATGTATGCCGAATTCGCAAGCAACAATTTTCCTTCATCGTTGAAGCAAAAGCCAAGCAAACCGACAGCGATGAGGTGGAAGACCGCAGGCTTGAAAGCCATCAGAAGCGTTGTCGGAGCAGAAGCTCTGGGAACAGATGGTACAACACAGTTGAGCATAGTAATGCCAGCGATTTTGGACAATCTATATACCGGAAACGATGATATACTTGCTTCATTGCAGGAAAAGGCTCAGACGGGAGAGAAAGCCGACGTAGAGAACGCTCGGAAACGTCGCATGAGCTTTGCTACGGTGACTACTGTGGACACTGTTGAGGGTAATCCAGCTTCAGCTTCCGAGACCACGGCGGATGCAGACAAGGCAGCAGAGGACGAAGTTCGGGTACTTGCAGTACGATGCCTAAAACAGATATTTGCTGCGGGAACTGGTAGCAATCGAGGTCAAGTGCGCCTTGCGACGAACCTCACTCTACAATTTATTACTGCTAGGGATCCACCTGCTCCAGCCTTACCAGGCTCAACCCCAGCATCTGGGAAGCGAGGAAACTGGGCGACGTCGCTGGTTGAGACTATTGCAAGATGGACGCCAGTCCAAGATCGATTCATCATTGTCATCACAGCAGTCGATGCATTGGTAAAGAGTCCTATAGAAGAGTCCAAGCTCAAGCAGCAACTTACCTTGGCAACAGCGATTGATTGGCTATTGAGCAGTTCCATTAATTTGATTGGTTTGAGCGTGATGGACGTGTTATTGGGTTTTGTACAGCATGTGCTACTGTTACTACAGCTTGGTGGACGAGATTCCAGAATCACGCCTCATAATCAGCAACCGGAGGCGCTAAACACCCATACAAACATCAATCCCAAGAAAGTAGAAGAGCGAGGGCACACCACGAATGTCATTACGCCATCCCCTGTCCGCCAGGAACTGCTAGTACGGCTGCAAAGATGTATCGGGGATTTGGCTACACACATATACTACACAGACCAGATTGCAGATATGATGGCAGCAATCCTGGCTCGGCTCAAACCCTCGCTTAATCCGGACCGTTCATCTATTGCCGCTGCGATCGAGAACCCGGTGGGAGCCGCGAATGCGATTGCAAATTCCGCTGACCTACAGGAAGACCCGCTGACGGACGGCTTTTTCTCTTTCGCTACAGCACGTTTGAATGCGTTGCGGGCTGTCAAGAATATTTTGCAGGTGGCGAATATGAGGAAATCGGTAACGGGAGCCGCGGCACAAGCAAGGAGCCGCGTGGGCGTTCAGGTCTGGGAGGGCACACAGTGGCTGCTGCGCGATGAAGATCGAGGGGTCAGAGCCGCCTACGTCGATGCTCTTCTGACGTGGCTCAAAAACGAAACGAACAGAAGTGACCTGCTTCTTCCCCAAGAAGGCCCACGAAAACCCAAATCGACTGCTAAGAAGGGCCGTGATGAGAATGGCGAACCCAAACTTACTAGAAGAGCAGTCTCAAGTGCTTCGCGAAAAGAGAACAAAACTGCCAAATCAAACTTCCTTCGCTTACTTCACCTGGCAATATATGACAACGCCATCGAATCCCCTCAGTTTGACTCGGACATACTACTGCTACACTTGTTGCTCACGAATCTTACCGAAAATTTAGGCGTAAATGCTGTACGGCACGGCCTGCCAATGATGGTTCGACTACAGGATGATCTTGTATCGGGCGACAAATTTGAAGATGCCAGATCCAGGATCAACGCTGGAAGCCTTGTTCACGGCTATTTCTGGGCATTAAGCGAGAAGTTCGATTTCGAAACGAGTCGCGTGGGCCAGGAACTCCACACCGAGATCTCTCGCCGAAAGAAGAATGGGTTCTGGCTCGACAAGGTCCGCCTTCCCCCACTGCCGTTGGATCAGATCATCACCTCAACTGCTGCTCTTACAGAGAAGAAAACCCTGGTTTCTGAAATGAGTAGCACGTCACTAAAGCCGTACAGCTCCCGCGTAAACATGGTTGAGGAAATTTGCACGTCCTACAACGAATCTTTGAGAGCTCCCACCACCTCTCCACCATCATCTCCCAGCCGTGTCTTTTCAGTCCCGGCACTCAGTTTTGGATATGGGTATGGCTTGAACCCCGGCCCAAAGCCATCACCAGAGGACCAGCTACCTCCAAAGGTCAAGGAAGAGCTGCTGGCCGAATGGTCCAAAGAGTCGGTCATCGCAGCGGTAGAGAAAGAACATGCCGACAGTCTCAGTGGGAGCAAAACTGGGACTGGGACTGGGTCCGCAACCGCTGGTAGGAACTTTCTGACCGTGGATGCAGTGAATGGTCTAGGACGTGGTGCGGCGTCGCCTGGCGGCAATGACTCGCCTACTCGTGTTGTGAGTGACAGTGGTGGGCCGAGAATGTCCGCACTCTCTTACGCTTTGAATGGTGGCTTAGGCCATCTCCAGAGATTGCGAGGACCTGGCACAGATGAGGGTTCACCCACACCGTTGACAGCAAGCTCGAGCCGGGACTCTACTGTGAGGGTGACAGAGTTGAAAAGGGCATTATCGGGGTACCAGAACAACATGAGGCATTCCAGCCCGTTGGGGAGACGAGTGGCAGGCATCAGAGACTCCAGTATGGAGAGCGTTGAGAGCCACGGTAGTAGTAGTGAGAGTGAGAGTATGGTGAACTACAGCGAGGCGGAGGGAGCAGGAGTCCACACCTCTGCCTTGGACGTCAATGCAGTGGGTCATACGGACTTTGCTACAGCAGCATCACCGCCATCAAGAGATGAGCAGCGGCAGAGTTCTGGCGCAGACAAGGCAAGGCCTGGATCCTCTCAGGCACCGTCATCACTTCCTCAAGCCCAACACCACCCGAGACTCGAGAACGACATGCACGCAGCCACCACTCTCCCACGCCTAAAATCAGACCCTAGACTAGGCGAAGATGTACCTCCCGTGCCCGAAATTCCCAGCACCCTCTCCCTCCACCTGCCCGGTACTTTCCCGCGGGACATTTCGCCAATACGCCGACCCTCCTTGAGAACCTCCAAAAGCGTGGAGAGACAGTCTCCTCAGCCACGACCGATACAGCCACAGCCGCAAGGTCAGAACGTACTGCTTCGACCCTCTACCGCTCCCAGCCCCGGTTCCGTTGTCAGGCCGGCAGGCAATGGTGCCGGTACAGGATCTCTGCGACCTCAACCCCAGTCTCAACCCCATCAGACTCAGACTCAGACCCAGATACAAGCGGCATCGGCCCCTTCTCAATCTCCCGCCACCTCCACCAGGCTATATTCTACATCACTTTCAGCGCGAGAAGGGCGGACTTGGCGCAGAGAGGAATCCAGACCGACGAGCAGTAGGCATTCGGGCGTGGGGTTTGGTCCAGTTGGTAGTGGGAAGTCGCCGGGTTCGGGGTCATTGAAGACGAAGAGGCTGGATCTCGGGAGGCTTTTGGCTGGGGTGAGGGTAGATGATGATGATGAGGATGACCATTATAATGATGATAATGATGATGAAGATGGGCAGGGCGGTGCAGGACCTGTGAGTAGTGACCATAGGTTCAGCGGTAAGGGCAGAGCTGGGAAAGGTGGAAATGCGAATGAGAATGCGAATGGGCAAGGAGGAGGAGGAGGAGGAGGAGGAGGAGGAGGAAGAGTACATATTCAGCCGCCTTATTAGATCAACGAAGAGAGAATCAAGGATAGCGAGGAAAAAGGAAAAGAAGAGCAAAGTCATTGATTGTGTCATCATCTCCCATCTGCCAAATAATCAACCGACGCTACGCTACCTAGTGGAGGTTGGACACACTACATATCCTGTAGGTCCTTTGCGGGTAAAATATTTCTCAAGCAAACTTGCTGGTGAAGGTGAAGTCGAAGTCAGATTGACCATACGTTTTGTCGTAGGTCCTTTGTTGGTGAGAGACTCTTTTTCTGACTGACTGTGTGTATGCTGGAGAAGTGGAGAGTGGAGAAAAAGATTGGGACACTACAAAATGATGTAGGTCTTTGCGGCTAATAACTCTGAGCAAGTGCTGATAAAAGGGTGAAGTCGAATTTGACCTTACGGGTGTCGTAGTCCGCTTTTGCGAGAAATCTTTTCTGATGGTATGTATGCTGGAGAGTGGAGAGTGGACACTACACAGATGTAGGTCATTGCAGCTGATATCTCTGAGCAAGTGCTGATGAAGGTGAGTGGAGAGAAAGACGACGGTATGACTGCTAGCAGAGGGTAGGTAGGTAGGCCAGAGAAGTGTTCGGTTTCAGAGCTGATGAAGCAAGAATTCCGGTGATGGGTTGTGGTGAAGATTGCCCTCCAAACGACAGTCGACTGAACTCTTTACATCGCGTCGGATGGCTGCTCGTTTTCTCGGGGAGTCTGTGCTTCGTGCTCGAAATTCTCATCCGCATCATAGAATTCTTCATCCGCATCTGATGTGTCCTCTCCTTCTTGGGTGGATGAGGGAAGGGTTTGCTGCAGTGGAGGCCCCGACGGCGCGACCCATCCCGGCGGTGGACGCACTTGGTAGTGTCGATAGTTTCGCTCGAGGATTGGATTGAGCCACGTCCACGCAGAGCCCTCGGCGAAGTGTCTCCCGACCGGATCCTGGCAAGACCTCGCATGCGCCTTTTGTGCGGGTGTAAAGCGAGACAGGGCGCATTTGATATCGTTTTGCACCCGTCTCTTTCGGTTGTGCGCTTGAGTCTGGGGCGTCATCCTCCTTTGACCACCATTCGGCCCTGGTCCGTTGTTGTAGTCGTACTTTCGTTGCTTGAATGGCTTTGGTTGAGGACGAGCTGCTGTGGCTGCTTGCATGGCCTTGGGCGCGGTCGGAGTCTGTGATGTTTCGACAGCCGAATTGCCAGCACTGGGGGTTTCGATGGGCAGTGCTCCCGCTGATTCTGGCGCAGTACTCCACCGAGATGCCATTAGCTGCTTTGAGGAATCGGTCGTGGCGCTTGCCGGGGAAAACCCAGGTCCGTCTTCCCTCTTGGATTGGTTTGAGGCAGAGTCATCGACCTTTGCAGGTGTAGCGGGCGCATCAGGCGTCGAAGATTTCGTCTCTTGAGCTGCTTGGGGACCTTGCCACTTTGATCTGGCGTCATCTGATGATCTAGCTTGTGGATCGTTTGGAGAACTGGCCCATCTGGATGCTTCCATGCCGGCTGATCGAGAAGGTTTGACGACTGCTGAAGAACTGGACTGAGGATCATTTCGAGGACTAGCCCATTTGGATGCTTCGATGCCAGCTGATTGAGAAGCTTTGACGTCTACTGAAGAACCGGATTGGGCATCATTTCGAGGACTGGCCCATTTGGATGCTTCGACGCCAGCTGATCGAGAAGCTTTGACGTCCACTGAAGAACCGGATGGAGGATTATTTTGAGGACTAACCCATTTGGATGCTTCCATACCAGATGATGGAGAAGATTCTGGAAATTTTGGCGCAGCTGGCCCAATCGGTCGGCGTGAATTCTTCAACTCGGTAACTTGTCCGATGGCAATCTTGGTAGAGAAGTCATCTCTGATGGACTTCAGCTCGGACTGAGCCACGCTGATCGTCTCATTCAATTTGTGAAGGCTCTCTGCATCAGCCTTTGAAGCAAGTTGGCTTTTGACGGTATCCGCCTCGCTTCGGAGCTCTTTAGATAGGGCCAAGAGGTCAGCCTTCATGCTTTCCTCGGCGGCTGTCAATATGTCCTTGTCGACCTTGTTAGCAACTTGAGATTTGAGCGGTACAACTTCGTTCAAAGCATGCTGGAGATTTGTGACGTCTTCAGCCACCTTGGAAATCTTTCGCTCCATCGGCCCTTGAACGTCTCGAACGTCTCGAAAAGTAGAGTCGACCTTGGCAGAGACGTCCGTAACCTCTTTCGAGAGATTGGCGAAGAGGTGATTTTTAACATAGCCAGAGAACTTGTTTTCAAGCTCCTTGACATGAGCTGCGTCCGCCTTCGAGTTGGCCAGCTTCTTGGTGGTAACAATGCCGGCCGCTTGTGACTCGACCTCTTTTTGCACCTCCTTCAGCTGTCCTTGCTGTTCTCCAAGTTGAGCACCGATGGCCTGCGTCTTGGACTCCAGACTAGTTTCCAGCTGCTCAATTCTGGTCGAGATTTCGGTTGTGGCCTCAGCAGTTCGCTGATTTTCTTCCTCCAATACCTTTGTGACTTCAGCCAAATGTTTACGCTCTTTCTGAAGTTGTTGCAGCAGATTTGCATTCTCTTGATGCTGTTTGGTAGAACACTGCGCAAGTGTTTGAACAGTGGACTTTAGTGCATTAAAGTCTTTCATGACGTTGGCAATGCTTGTATCCTGGTGGGAAACAGAGGTTTCAACCCTCTTAAGTGCCTTGAGTTCTGATTGAACGGAAGTCGATGAAGCAGCCATAGCTTTCGTCAACTTAGTCTCAAGCTTCGAAACGGTGTCATGATTCGGTTTCGAATTGATCTTTGTGTCGAGATTGGTAATCAGATCGTCGGTTGCTCTGAGTTTGTTGTCCCACTTGGCAGTCGATGAGTCGAGCTTGGACCGGATTGCTGTCAGATCCTTCTTTAGCATCCTAATGTTGGTTTCATTTCCCTCGAGCACGTTCTCTAAGCCTGTACGAAGCTGTTGTTCGAGTTTGTGTTGCTGAGTAATCGCGCGGCCAATTTCAGACTTGTTGTCCTGGACGGATTTCGTGATTGCATGGCGAAGGTCTTCTCTCACAATGTCCGCATGAGCTTGTGATATCTCGGTGGCATATGCAAGCATTTCCCACCCTAAGCATTGCTCTTCGTCTTGCAGCTGAGCATTCTGGGGCATGGACTGCACAATATCTGAAACAACCGAAAGAGCGTCATTGTCATCGGCATCTGGATCAGAGAGTGCAAGCTCGGTGACGTTCGGAAAATGATCTGGGGTTGCCAGAGCGCTGTAGCCTCTCAGATCGACGAAGAAGAGACCCCAGTACAAAACACTCCCAAGGACAAAGACAACACCGAGTATAAAGAGAGCAACCAAGCCGAAACCCAAGCTGCTCAAAGCTGAAGTTGGAGGCTCTTCAACGAGGGAGAAGAGGTAATCGAGCATGGTATTGAATGTGGCTAGCTTCTCCAGGACGAACTGATGATAAGAGGCAGCTTCTTCATCGGGGTTCGGGTAGAGTATTTCCAGTGAAGGATCAGCCTGGGAAGAGCATGCTTGTGCCCAGAACATTGCCGGAAGATCGAAAGAGAGGCAGGAGTAGGGGATGGCGCGGGGAACTGTGACATTTGTTTCGACAGTAACTGAATCGGGGACAATGAAAGTTGTGGCTGCCTGGTTATCGTCAGTGTCTTCCAGAAGATGCGAACAAGGATGGAACTCACGTCGCCAGTCTTGTCCATACCGAAAAATGGCTTTGCAAACCCAAATCTAACCATGTCGAAGTAAGACTGAGCGTCAGGAAGGGTGAGGTTAGGTTGCAATTCTAGGACTTCAGCCACCCGCCAGACGCCGACGAGGGTGCTGACAGTAGCGGCTACCGCCATCGCTATCTTCGCAAAGAGAAGCATCTTGGTCTTGATGATACAGGATTTTCAAATTCTGTGAGAAAGTGAGTTCCACCTCGCTCCCGAAGAGCGAGGCCCAAGTGTGTTTGGAAGTCTACAGAACGAGAAGGAGACCTTGGCAAGTCGATACCAGTTAGCAGAAGTTATCTGGTGGATGATGTGGCTTGGACTGATGAATTTTGGATGGAGTTAAATTCGGTGGATGGTGAGGACGGAGATGGAGGAAGGGCTTTATTAGGGCTCAAGAAGAAAATGCGAGGTAGGCAGAATTTTGGTGACCGCACAAGCGACACCTGGTGGAAAAAGTGTTCTATGGTGACAGCCTTTGTGACAGCTCTGGTGCTTCCACTTCAGCACCTCAGGCTGCCACCGACTCGCTTGAGGATGGTGAGGGCCGTTTTTGATAGGCGGTTCAGGCAGAGACGTACCTTCAGAAGACTTGGGGATAACGACGTCGGAACTGATCGAACTGCCGGAAAAGACGCTTCGCATCAAAAGTTGGGCGTCATACACACAGGGTTGTGCGGGTTTGAGGATGGCAGCAAGACGATAATGTACGTGCCGGGTTGACTTAGGCTTTGGGCAGTAGAAGTCGACAGCGCAAGAGTGATGTGTATGGAGGAATTTCGGGGGTTCGAAGGTAAACGCACAGAAGCCGAGTTGGAAGTGCTCACGGCCAGCGGTGAATTCAGGCAGAAAGTTGCCAATCCTAGAGGAACACATTCAAATCAAAGCTAAAGTGTTTTTGGGTAGAACACTGGTGTTCGAAGACAAAGGCGGCCGGTGCATGGTCATAGCATACAGAAATGTCGTGGGATATCAGCACACTTCAATCTCCATCAAGCAGCATGAAGCTGAGCCGGGAACATACTGCATCAACAATAGTCGTCCCAAGAACAATACACAACGAGAGATTGCCAAAGGCATTCGCAGCTGGGAAAGGGAAGAGAATACCTCCAGAATTCTCATTTGTGCGAATACTCACAGATCAACGTGCCTCCCATCCTCAGATCCATGCCTTCAATCTTGGGATTCCCTTCGAAGTATTGCGGATGATCACAACGCCAGGTGAGGGATCGCTTTACTAACACATATTGGTGGCAGCAAAATTTCCTGCCGTCCACCCTCCCAGTTGAATCCATGTCTAACCCTTTCCTTGCATTTGTATCAAAAAAACGCCGTTTCTCATAACCTCATGTCGGGACCAAAGCTTTTGTCATCGATATAATGCTGTGTATAGAATACCTTCAAGGAACAAGATCTATTGTGGCGCTATGCCACCGTCGATTCCATTGGCCGAATTTTCATAACCAGGAAATCCAGTATTGGTCATGTCGGCCCAATCCCATTCAAGCGTCATTGGCATTTGCCACAAGTCCTGGGGAACGAATGGCTGCTGGAAAGCACCGAGGTTCAAAGGAGAAGCCATATTGCTTGGATTTTCCTGTCCGTCAAGAATGCTATTGGCCAAGCCATTTGGTGGCGTCATCAGGCCGTTGTAATTGGCTTCATAACCAGGCATCATTGGCGGCCCTGTCAACATCTGTGGTGGCGAGTAGACATTCGCATTCATCATCGAAGGACTGAACAAAGGGTTCGACATACCGCTCATACCAGGTGTAAAAGCAGCCGATGCCGTGGACATGCTCTGTGGATCAGGTTGACTGGGGGATGAGCGTTGACCGTTGGCTTGTCTTGGCAATGGATCGTTCGCGCTGTCATCAGCCGCTGGCTTTCTCTTCTTTCTGGAGTGTGTCTCTTTCTCTGACTTGTCTAGGACAACTTTGGCGATGCGTTCAAACTCTGAGCAGATCCCCAGCATGCGCCTGACACTCCCGTTCTCTTCATCGGAAACCAGCATGGACAGGAAGTTGACCACCAGATTCATCAGCTTTACATCAGCACGAGCACGAGGGTCTTGAGGGTTTTGAAGAATATTGGCAAACAAGGTGACAAGTGCAGAAACGGGGAAATACAGAATCAACCTGTTTTGCGAGTCTCGAGTTAGCAGATTCCGACCAAACCCGGAACGATGTACCTACCAGACGCAGGCAAAGTCCCCTTGTGGTATATACTTGATGAGATGGATCGACGCTCTTGCAGCTGATACACACAACGCCGCTGAAGAGAAGACCCGGGGGTTTAGGGGTCTGGCATTGAGCCCCTGGATAGCATAATTGGAAAGTCGGCTGGTCCAATATCCGTGATGAACCGACATTCGGTGAATGGTAGTGAGGCAGTTGTAGTAGGCGAAATGGAGAACCACGATGTGTAAGATCAGTGGCGTGTGTGACGCTTTGATCTCATGCTCCGGACGAAAGTCAATTGGAATCCCATCCTTCCACTCCTCAAGCTCTTTATCCAATTCACCAATCGTGTTCAGCAGCTCACCATCTGACTGGCGCGAGGCACTGACTGCATACAAGCGTTTGTACACCTTACTACTAATAATGGCGAAGGTGCACATCAAGCGGAATAGATTGGTCTTGCCTTTCCCATCCGCGAGTGGAATATTGCCAATGTTGTCAGGTGGATCTTCGGAAGGTAGTTCAACGTTCATGTCATCATCATCCTGTACAGGAGGTCGTCCAGATCGAAGGCAGATATCTTTGTCCAGCAAATAACCGATCCAAAATACTCGCTTCCTCTGTTCCGCTTCGACCGGGTTGAGGTTGAACCCTGACCCTCTCTTGTGCAAGCCTATGCTGTGGGACAGACGGACAGCTGCTGCAATCAAGAAGAATGATGGTTGTGGATTAGGTGTGCCTTGCAAGAACAATGACATTCCAAGCAAGGCTTGCACGCTTAACAAGTCCGTGTTTCGCATCGTCAGCTCTGTCAGTACTGCCATAGCGTTCTTGAGATACAGCCATGCTTTTTGATCCTCTTCTGCCGGTACAAGATTGCTCATCACTCTTAAGCGATGCGAAATTGCCAACGCCACGTTGATGCTGGCCCACCAACCGCTTCCTTCATATGGCTGTGGAGAATATTGTCTCTCTACCAGATGCATGAAGGTAGGCTCATGAAAAAGTGGGAACATGCAATTGAAGTTTTCGAAGTAGTCTTTGAGCAGAGACAATGCCTCGTCCTTTGGCGGAAGGGGCTTGAAGACTCGCCTCATAAACAGATCGCTGAATATCTCCGGCTTCCAGTATATCCATTTGTTGTCGTCCACAGACGAAGACGATATCATGTCCTGAAAGGATGAATCGCCTGTCTTCTCACTGACCCACTGGATACCCTTGGGCGAGAAAATTGAGAAGCCGGAGGATGAGCCTACCGTTGGTTAGCTGATTGAAATTGGCGAGGCCATGATGTAGATTACCAATATATCTAGTTTCGCCACAATTGTTCGTGACTAGAGAACACATCATATCTGAGAGGGCTTCGACCTCAGCTTCCTTCTCTTTCTCTCTCTCCTTGTCCTTCTCGGAGCCAGGGGTGGCTACGGATATACGAGGACTGGAGAGTATTTCCAGGTTTTGCGGAGTGCTGTGATACGACTCTGTTCCACTCGATATCTTTGGGGAGTTTCGGCGGGAATTGTCGGCGTTTGGACTGGCCTTTTCTGCGAGCCTTTTTTCGAGGGTTCCCAGATCTGTCTTCCCTCCATCATCTTCTGAAAGAAGCCCAGACATCTTAAGCAGGGCTTCCATGCGACCAAGCCGGTTTTCTAGGCCCTCTATGTACTTGGCACTGTGTATGAAGTTAACTGCAGGGTTTTCGACGCATAGCATTTACCGTACCCTTTCGGAGGATTCCTTTTCTTCTCGACCTGCGTGAACACACACTCTGTTTTGTAATTGATACAGTGTGAGCATTTCGGCATGCGCCCATCACATTTAATCTTCTTCCTCCGGCACATATCGCATGCCTATCGATTGACCGTCAGCAAGCTTGTCCAACGCGCATGAAGCGGTATGTGCCTTCACATACTCTAGCAATTCGCCTTCTCTTTGAATCGTTGTCGTCTGCACTTCCGACGTCGCCATGGTCTTGAAAAACTGGACCAGGAAGAACAGCCGCAGCGGGAGTGCCATCTAGATTGAAGCCGCCAAAGATCTGAGGCGGCTGATTCGTGATGCCAGGGACGTCAAAGCCGATACTTCCATTGCGTGACTGATTATCCATGATTGGCCCAAATTTGAAACTTGTGCCTGCTGGATCGGCCGGTATAGAGCTTCAGCAGAAAAGAAGAGGTCTCTGGTAGTTGCCTGTAGCAGAAGTGGACATCTTCTTACGTAGAAGGAATAATCGAAGGATGGTGAAACTTGTGCTATTCGACGCGCAATGTAGACAGCGACAGCATATCAGTCCGTCTTATTCGGCTGCAGTCTTCTTTCATATTTGATGAGAATGACTGCTGTCCAACGTAACTCATGTCAAATTAGTAGTACTTCGTACCAACTGCGTCAGTCTCCAAGCCTAGTGCGCCAAGCCTGGTTTCTGCGGTTGTGCTGAGTAATTATATTTCTCTTCGAGCAGAGATTACTGCACAGCCACAACCTCCACCACTCAATCCGCCAATCTCACATCCGTACGGGCTGCTCATTCCTCGTGTCAGCGAATCCCTGGCTTGAGGGAATAAGCAGGATCATCACAACGACCTCGCAATGGCTCCCAAGAACAAGGGCAAAGGCAAGGCCAGTGGAAAGGGTGATACGAATGATGACACAGCCTCGTCCAAGCTGAAGTCGGCTAATTCCATCAACGTTCGGCACATATTGGTATTGCTACCTTTGGACTGAAAACACTTGATCATATGCACTGATCAGAAGGTGCAGTGTGAAAAGCACTCTAGGAAGGAGGAAGCTCTAGCAAAGCTTCGAGAAGGTGTCAAGTTTGATGAAGTGGCACGAGAGTTTTCGGAAGACAAAGCGAGGCAAGGTAGGTGGAAATCTTGATGCTGTTTTTGCATATGTTCAATCTCTTACAGGGGGCTCGCTCGGCTGGAAGACGAGGGGAAGTCTCCACGGTGATTTCGAAAAGGTTGCGTACGAGCTTGAACCCAGTTCAACGAGTAGTCCCAAATATGCAGAGGTCAAAACAGGCTTTGGATATCATATCGTCATGGTCGAAGGCAGAAAATGAAGCACTCCGTTTGTCACATTGTTTTTTGCATGGCGGTCGGGCTGGAACAAGAGGATTCTTCCTCAGAATTCTATCTCCCTCCATGCACTCTCCGTGAGTCGTGAATGTTTTGTCAAGATTCAGGAAGTGTTTCTTCCACTTTCCCTTTCCATTCTGGATCTCGTTCCCAAAGAGATAAACTGAAAGATTTTCATTGAATCACTTCCACATTTTCGAACAACTAATTACTATGGAGATCAGTTGCTAATTGGATCAGTTACAAACGCTTTCATATAGAAAAGCCTAACGTGTAGGTGATCTCTATAGCTTCAGGCCACTATTTCTTCTATCCACGACGCTCCGTCGACTTGGGAGGAATGCCAGACACCTTACACCGCCCTCACAATCAACGCAACAACACACCACCTTTTCGCTTCTTCTCTGCTCTCGTTAGCTCTCTCTTCCTGCCAGGGTCTCCTTGTGCCATTCATATCACTCTCATATATTTCTGCAATACTGAGCTCTGCTCCAGCAGCGTCCTTATCCTTACACATTGAGAATTGTTTGAAGAAGTCCCCCACAATATTTCTCCCGGTGTGAAAGCCGGCAACAATCAAAGCACATGCCTCAGAGCTTTCTTTGGAGAGAAAATAGGCGATGGAGTTGACAAGATTGCCATGCTGAGAGGGCATCCAAAGGCAATCTGCCGCAATTATCCTAGTGTAATGATTGCGTTTCTTCTGCGCAAAGCTGTCCATGACCGAGCCCCACTCATGTGCTTCTATGGAGAAGTGCGGAGAAAGGTTTTCTCTCTTGGCTAGCTTGAGAATTTCTTGCACGTTGGCCTGGGTTGTGGAGGCAAGTGCTGGAGAGGATGGATGATCGGTAATACAGACTTCTGAAGCAACAGAGAGGATGGAAATCATGGAAGGAAGAGCTGTGCCTACATCAGGATGCAGCTTTGGTCAGCCATTGCAATGGCCATCTTGATTCGCCTTGGAATCGAGTTTCTCGTAACATCAAAGAAAGTACCCACCAGCTCCCAATTCAAGGACTCTTTCACCACGAACGTTCCAAAAGTGTCTATCAGACTCTGGCGACTCATGTTCAGACATTTGCTGGTGGCAGCGGCTGGCCGATTCTATCTTATCCGCTACCAACACGCCAGCGTCCCAGAGATAATGAGCGAAGAGCAGTCTAATACCATCTTGATCGGGATGCACGGGGACATGAACCGTGATTTCTCCATAAAGAGGCGACTGGTAGATCAGTGTATCACCGGGATTGCCATGGCTATTTATAGTAACATCAGAGAACAGTGCCGTAAGGGAAGAATGAAAGATCTCTTCCGGCTCTGGGTCAGATGGTGGTGGGATATGTATGCGTGATATGAGCATGAGCCCTCAAGAATTCGTACAGTTGACACAGCCCGGTTTTGGTGGAGGCTTGATACTGAAATGATTCTTCAGAGGCACAATGGTATTGTGAAAAACTCGGTCGAGCTAGTTTGATTGGAACCATGGACTCTGATTATGTAAATCTTTCTAACCCCGAGATTCGTATCGATCCGCCAACAATAGACCTGTACAAGAAGCCGCTTCCCCGGAAAGACAGTGCAAGAAGACAGTGTTGCGCAGTGCCATACACCATAATGTCGCCCGAGAATGCTTCTACAGCAATTTCAAGGGATTATCCAGGACACCTCCAACCTAGTGAGTTAGGAACAAAGCAGTAGTGCGTCTGTCAGTGCCACCACTTACATAACGCCTTCTTTGTATCTGAGCGTTTGACGCGTATCACTGACTATTGTCTTGTAGCTGGGATAATTATTATGAAGAAGAACTTGCCGCAATTCGGAATGAAGGCGCCGAAGACAGAGATATCGGGAGGCTATCGACATGGTTCGAGGATGTCAATGCACCTCAACGAGTATTGAATTTCCTGGTTAGCCCGGAGTTTCCCTTTGCACCATGCCATTTTCTTGCGGGCACTGTGAATGAGGCCCCGTGCATACTAGATCTAGGCACTGGCAACGGACAGACTTTGTTTCAACTACGTTTACAAGGCGGCTTCAGAGGACAAATGACAGGCTTAGACTATTCGAAAGCTTCTATTCAACTGGCCCAAGAGCTCGGAAAGAATCAACAAGACTGCCAGGACATTCGGTTCGAGGTGATGGACATTATCAGCGATGAGCCCAAAGAGCAAGAGTGGTGGCCCGAGGACGGGTTTGACTTGGTCCTTGACAAAGGCACATTTGATGCTATCTCCCTTTCCGAGGATGTCGTCGAATCTTCTACCTCAAATCTATCACAAACATATCAGGCGTCCGTCCGAATCCAAACCCTTTATCCTTCTCGGGCGCTCAGTATGGTCAAACCAGGAGGGTTTTTGTTGGTTACTAGTTGCAACTGGACGCAGGAGGAGCTGATCCATTGGTTTACCGGCGGCGCAACAGGATCGAGTCATTCCGCGTCCGTCTGGAAGTGTATAGAATATCCAAAATTCAAATTTGGAGGACAAGAGGGCCAGGGAGCGTGCACTGTCTGCTTCAGAAAGGCACTCTCATCTGAATAGAGTGTGAGAAGGGGGAAGCAGGGTCTTGCTCTGATCATACAATATGAATAGCTGTTCTCTGGTGAATCCTGAATCATGACTAGAACGGAATCTAGGAGACACTGGGAGGACTCGGAAACAGCGAACAGCGTGGACTGGCGCCAACATAAATCTCAACCTTGAGAATGTGTGATTGTCACAAGCCCGATTCTTTGGCAACATGTTCTTTTTTCGCCTCGATGTTTGCTGTATTCAGCTATACAAACGTCTACATCTTTCACCCCGTAGTAGTGGAATGTTGGTGAATTGTGGAGCTTGAACCACGCTCGGCTCGGCTTGACGTGGTGCAACATTACGTGACTCCTTTTCAGGTCCCAGATGGAATGGAACAGATAGCCGTTGGCATGGTAGTTGACCCGCGAATCACAGACCCAAGATATTCTCAATATGAGATACGATCAACAGTGTTTGGGCTAGAAATGTGAAATGACGTGGGAGGTGTGTCGTGTGCTGATTAGATACTGCATGATTGGGACCCGTGTATAGCAGGATTTCAGAGCTAACTTAAAGATATGCGGATAAATGTATGAGAGGTTGAGCAACATCCCCCTTCCGTCTATCGTTGCTTCAATGGGTGTAGAGTGTGACCAGCAACCCATGACTCTAAACGCTGCAAGATGACACCATCCTCTGTGCAAGTCGGCGGGCTCCCGCACAAGCTGAACTTCACAGATTCTTTGTTCCTATGAAGTAGGTTTCTACTCAAATACGGTCCCTTGCCAACCGGGGACAAATCCTCCTGGCAAGTACTAACGAAATAGCAGCCAACATGGCCAATATTATTAGCTTTTTGATCTGGCAGGCCACAGTGTACAGTTATGGTCTGTTCAACTTCTTTCTATACCTGGGACTTGTTGTCAGGAGCGGCACGTTCTTCAGTAAGCCAACAGAACAGGAGCAGAACGAATTCCTGCTGGGTGAAGCCAAATCCTCACACCATTCTCAGCTGGAAGGTCAGCTAACAGACAACAGCTCGAGACAAATACTGGAATCTTTCCCGGACTGTCTTCGATCTTCATCACCGCTTCTTGGTCCTCCGAAATGGTCTGAAACTTCATTACCTCACCAACATCGCAACCCTAGATCCTTCTGCCCCTCAGAGCAAGCACCTTGTGATCTTCCTTCATGGCTTCCCGGACAACTGTCTGTCATGGCGCTACGTCACAGATTCACCTTCTTTACGACAAAATACGACCTTGGTTGCTGTTGATCTTCCTGGGTATGGAGGTAGCGACAGCTTGCCGCGTTATGGCGCAACAGAGGTCATGGAGCCCTTGACGGAGTTCATCGTTGCAATGCGAGAAAAATACCTCAGGGTGGATGACAATGATAGCGGGCAAGAGGAGAGTCAGGTCAACAAAGTCCTCATTGTTGGGCATGATTGGGGTTGTCTTTTGGGTTACAGACTGGCAGCAGAAGCACCCAGTCTTGCCGATCGCTTTATATTGACCAACTGTCCTCACGTGAGTACATCCCTCAAGACTTTCATCCTACGTCTGATTGATAGCACAGCCTCAACTCGCTCTAAGCAACAAAGACCGCATCTTGACTGCTAGCAAGAAAATGATGATGACTTTCCTGCATGCGCCGCTGGCTAACTATCACTGCTTCCCCAAAGTTTTTGACGAGATGAAACCTTTGGCATATCAGGTCCTGCTCTTCGGCTATATTGCTGCTTTCCAGCTTCCCAAAGTGATGGTCAAATATCTTGGATGTGGCGGGAACTACGCCTTCATACGCGAAGCACTCAAAAGCAAACATGGTAAAGATAAAACTGCTTTCAACCCTCCGCATTCTCTTGCCATGACCATGGGTCCTGGACAGGCAGAATGCCGAACAACTACTGATCACGGGAAACCAGAACAGTATGGTGAAAGCGTGTTTGGCCGAGCTAAAGACTCAGACGAATGGTTCGTTAGCGCTACCGCATACTACCGAGATGGAGCTGCATTTGACAAGTGGGAGAAGTCGATTCACACCGTGGCAGCACTCCACAACATTGCAGTTGACAATGAGGCCTGCATGAAGAATAGACACTCTCGCAAACGTCGGCAGTCATCTGCGTCTTCCACACTGTTCTCTGATATTTGTGCCAGCAGTTTGAAAGCGCCTGCCACAATCATCTGGGGTCAGAGAGATCAGGCTTGCACGCAGCCAATCTGCTTGAACGGGATTGGTGATTATCTGGCTCGCGACAGTCAGGTACTTCTGCTGCCGAATACGGGTCACTGGACGCCTATTGAGAAGGCATCGAGGGAGAGTCTTAAGAGAATCCTGGAAAAGTTCGTCCAGAATGGCGATCTCCAGAAGGAAGACCTTCAGGAAGCTGTGAGGATGACGTACCCCAATGCGATTGTCAGCATCGACAAATAAAGCTGTGGGAGGGTATATCTAGACCTCGATCTCGAAAGGACGAGAAGAATACCTTCACAAATACTGATGACGGGGAAGGGAACCTTTTGACAAGCCAGCCCTGGCTTAGGAAATGATTACGAGGGTAGAGGCACAGACGTGCGAGAAAAGGTCCAAAACATCAGAAGCGATGGCTTTAGGAGTCTTTTATCAAGTTCTCTCTCACACAACCTCTCTGAACCGTGTAGCGAATGATATTCCATAGCAAACAGAAGAGATAACATTCTTCCTAATGCTGCTCCTGCTGTGGAAATGGCTTGCATATATGCCGAAAATAGTTTAGCTGGTACAAGTCTTGGCATGGTCTACCCACACAGCCAATTCTCCAAAATTGGAGCCAAAAGTTCGCAAATTGCTTCATGTGCACTACTAAGATCTCACCTTCTTTTCGGCACGCAAAGACTCTTTGAGGATCTTCCGACTTCCTGGTCAATACGATATTTAGCTTCTCAGTTGTGCAACGAGTAGCGAAAAACCAAGATGGTAAGTGTAGGGGTAGTTTGATTTGACTAAGAGCGGTGGAAGGGAGCTCCTGGCATTTCCTTCTGGGTCGACTTCAAAGGAAGGGTTCAGATTTAGCAGATCAACATGGCTAACATCTTCATTACAGTCGGACGGAGAAGAGCCCACGTCGCCTGTCGCTCCGGCGGACGAAGTCGAAGTCCCTGCGGATGCCTCTGGATCCTCTGGAAATATGTCTGTCCTTGACGCTTTGAAAGGTACGCCTGTAAAGGATATTCTGGAACATTAGCGATTGCTATACCATTCGAAAGCTCTTGGAAGCTCTTTTCCTAGCTCTAAGATGGGTTGAAATATATTCTAATACGATAACTCTTCACAGGCGTCCTCAAACTCGCGCTTATCCACGATGGTCTCGCTCGTGGCCTCCGCGAAGCTTCCAAAGCCCTTGATCGTCGCCAAGCCCACATGTGTGTCTTAAATGAAGGTTGTGAAGAAGAAGCATACAAGAAACTGGTTGTCGCACTTTGCTCTGAACACAAAATTCCTCTGATCAAAGTACCTGACGGAAAGCAACTGGGAGAGTGGGCTGGATTGTGCGTGCTTGATAGAGAGGGCAACGCGAGAAAAGTGGTCAACTGCAGCTGCGTGGTTGTAAGAGATTGGGGTGAGGAGAGCCAAGAACGAAGCGTGCTGTTGAACTATTTCCAGACCGAGCAATAAGACGTATATTGATGGAGGCTGGAGGCTGGTTGGCGGTTAAGGAGAGAATTATCAATCGAGCAAGAGCGTGCATTGGGAAAGGATCGATTACGGCTGAGATTCCATGCATACACATATTCTCATTCTACTTCACCCATCACAACCCTTCTTCTGGCAAAGTCGAGATCTAGGGATTCCGTGTTGCACATGCTCAGGAATTGTTCAGTCGCTTTTTCTCAATTATCTGGTCCAACCACTCGCAGCAGGCTTTGCCCGATACCTGTGCTTCCAGCCTCTTATGCTTGATTTGCGTCCATACAGAGCCCATGCCCGAGGGTTTCTACCAGCCATGAAAGCACATTCACAGGTTTGTGGGAAGATAGAAAGCCCAATTTCAACGTTCGTTGACTCAAAATCTACCACCTTGATTTTCTGGTCTACAATGGGCGTCAATCCAACCTGGGCTGCAAACTCCTCCATAAGACGGTGTTAGTATTGCACCTCATCCACCTATTTCCCTTCGAGCTGCTTATTCACACTCCTACCTACGCACTCATTCTCTGTCTCCTCTCCTTCCGCCCCGCCGTCTAAAAGACAATCAGCATCTCGAGCACGTGGAAAGCAAAGGAGGCTAGCATTCACCGTCCATTATGAAATGCGTGTAATACGCTCCTCTCGCCTTCCCTTTTCTCCGTGTCACCTGTCGTCTCCCCAACTCTCGGTCATTCATCTCGGCATTACCCATTCAGCGCACGATAGTAAGTTCCTCAACAGTTGCAATTACAAGTGTATAGCTCACAAGCCTTATACATCGCTTTCCTTACCTATGTCCACCGTTTCCTCTTATCCACGACTTTCCGGCTACTCAGAGACCAAATTTGGATTACTCTAGGATGCCTCCGACCAGTCCAGCTGGCGCAACGTGCATGAGCGTATAATATGACGGGATATGGGGAGATGGGACGGGACGGGACGGATCAGACCCTGGCTCGAACGCTCCGAAGTAAAGGCAAAGAGTATATCTTAATTTTGTATCCATCCGCGGCTGGGCGAGGCGAGGAGAGGGAGGCAGACAATCATCCCCCCTCTCCTGCTAAAGAAGACAAGGGAATAAGTAACTCTAGCTTCCACCCTCCACCCCATCACGCCCGCGTCGGCGCCGCGTTCATGTCCATATCCATATCCACGCCTATAGACTGGGTCTGGAGCTGGAAGCTACCAGCACCCCCATTCCCCTGTCCTCCTATCCCCTTATCCCCCATCATCTGATACACGTGTTTCCATTAGGCACAAGCTAATTCACGATCCTCCAAGGGCTAACCGAATCCTTTCGGTCCCACAGTCCCCCCCCTTCCTCCTCCTCCACGCAATATCCCATATCCCATATAAAATAAAACATACACACACCCGCCTCCCCATCCTCTGCAAGCCGGATACCAATGTCGGATACTTCCCTCGGAGGGAATGAAGTCATAAGTCATACTCTATACTGCATACTGCATACTGCATAAGGGATACGGTATACGGTATACGGTGGACAGTATACAGTATACAGTATACCTATCCTCAACGGGTCCAGAATGAAGTAGAAAGCGGCGAACAGGAAGTTCGGTCCATTCCACATGTTTCGAAAACCTCGATATCATGTATTTATATCAAGCGCAGTTTGATGGGGTAGGAAGGCAGGGAACACAGTTGTCTGTGTGTCTGTGTGTCTGTGTGTCTGTGTGTCTGTGTGTCTGTGTGTCTGTGTGTCTGTGTGTCTGTGTGTCTGTGTGTCTGTGTGTCTGTGTGTCTGTGTGTCTGTGTGTCTGTGTGTCTGTGTGTCTGTGTGTCTGTGTGTCTGTGTGTCTGTGTGTCTGTGTGTCTGTGTGTCTGTGTGTCTGTGTGTCTGTGTGTCTGTGTGTCTGTGTGTCTGTGTGTCTGTGTGTCTGTGTGTCTGTGTGTCTGTGTGTCTGTGTGTCTGTGTGTCTGTGTGTCTGTGTGTCTGTGTGTCTGTGTGTCTGTGTGTCTGTGTGTCTGTGTGTCTGTGTGTCTGTGTGTCTGTGTGTCTGTGTGTCTGTGTGTCTGTGTGTCTGTGTGTCTGTGTGTCTGTGTGTCTGTGTGTCTGTGTGTCTGTGTGTCTGTGTGTCTGTGTGTCTGTGTGTCTGTGTGTCTGTGTGTCTGTGTGTCTGTGTGTCTGTGTGTCTGTGTGTCTGTGTGTCTGTGTGTCTGTGTGTCTGTGTGTCTGTGTGTCTGTGTGTCTGTGTGTCTGTGTGTCTGTGTGTCTATATTACTATATGTGTGTGTATTTCTACGTAGGTATGTATATATATGTATATATGCACGTATATGTTGTGTTAGTGATATAATTTCCCGTCCCGTCCCGTCTCGTCTGTCTCTTTTTCTGTCTCGTTCGTGAAATGCAAACATGCTCTGTTGCTTCTGCTAGGTTTGGTTTGCTTTCGTTTCGCGCGGGTCTCATGGGTGTAGTGATGCAGGGGTGGATGGAGTGATGGATGGATATGAATTTAACAAAAAAGGGAACGGGATCCATGGTCTCGGATTGCTACTTGATCGATAACGAATGGCCAGAACATGACAAGCGATCCGCAACGGCAGAGAGGTGTGGCAGTGCACGACGACGGAGTCCTCTGTTCATCCATCCCCTTATCATCCCTTGCTCTGTCACTATCACTGCCCCACCAAAGCCATGTGCTCACCGCCAATCGCCTCCAATAACCATCCCATCGATCATCGAAATCCCAAAGCCGGCCACCTCGTCTTGATACCCACCCCACCTCCTCCGCCGCCGCCGCCGCCACCAGCACACCCGCCCTGCCCTTGAACCTGCGGCCTCAATTCCAAGACCTGAAAAGGCAGACTCCCGGGATCGTAATACAAGCCCTCGATCTCGCCCGTCTGGCGGCGTAAAGCGACATAGTAGAAGCCCGAGATGGTGAGGCCGTATGTCGTTGGATCACTACTGGTAATACTGATCGAATCTCGTGCCACTGGTTGCCCAGTCTCGCGGCTCTCATACCTGTCTTGGGGTTGAGCTGGGTTTCCACCTTGTGCTTCCTCGGCTGCGCCTCTGTCCTCTGCCTCGCCTTTGGCTGGTTGGCGGTCCGTGATAAAACACCGCTCCTTCCACCGCATCAGCACCCACTCCTTCAACAAGACGTTCTCAATCCAAGAGCGACTGCATAGGTGGGAGGCTATGATGTCTTCGCCTCCGAGTGCGTCTTCCACTGCATCTTCATCAACTTCTATCTCATCTTCATCAACATCTTCGTCATTGTCATCCCCGTCCTCGTTGATACGCAGGTGGCGGCTTGGGTATTTACCGGCGCGTTTGCTCCGAGCTATACCAGCACCACCACTTTGGTCTCTCTTGCCCTTTTCTTTTTCGAGGAGTTCTCGGAAGGGGCCGACACCACGCCAGTATCGTGCATCTATACTCACACCGCCTCCACCGCATCCATCCTCTGCCTCTCCACTCTGGCCCGTGCAGAAATTCTCCGTCTCCAACGAATGGATTTTGAAATCGATGATCTCACCCTCAAAGAAGGAGCGCATACTACTTGCATGTCCCTGCGAGGGCTGGGTAGTAGAAGTAGAAGAGGAGGAGGGTGAGATTTTACTCGGGATCTGGGTTGCGGACATTGTTCCGGAGAGGGTTTGGGTAGTGTGGTCGATGTCGTGAAGGGTTATTTTGACGGGCCAGTTGTCGGATGGGGCACACGGCAGATGAATATGGGATTGGTCATGATTGATTGATGGCGGGTGGGACGTGGCCGGGGAGCCGTGTTGCACGATTATGCTCGTTTCTGAAACAGGAACAGGCAGACGATCGCGGTAGCTGTTTGTGCTGAGGCGGGTATGGGATCGGCGACCTTGTCGGTCGTGGAGGGCTAGACTAGGGTCTTGATGGTAGTGGTCTGGTCGGAAGAAGGGGTCACGGTCGTGATGTGGGTTTCGGCTGAGGATTGCTGGCTGGTGGTCACGGGAAGTGTGCTGGCTGCCGGTGAAGACAGTTCCTGGTGTGAGCCAGGAGCATTCTGCCACAACAGGTAAAGACGAGGTGTCGACGATCAGGTCGGACAGTTTGGCGAAGCATTCAGAAACTCGGTTTTGTCTAGCCCTGCATGCATCGTCGATGGCTAGATCGGTGGCTAGTGTCAAGCCTTCTTCTAGTGTTTCACAGCGACGCAGCTTCGACAGGTAGCGAATGCTATTCTTTAGTCTTGCAAGAGAACTATTCTCCAAAAAGAGCTGGCGATAAGCATTCCTCAGGTCGGCTTGAGAAGCTAGGTTTCGCATTGCGGGATAGGGAGAGCCAGGGGTTTGCTGGTCAGGACGATGAAGACGAGCCCACGTGGACGCGCTTGATGTGAGGTCATTGTCTCGACGATCTCTGTCGAGTATGTAGCTTTGCAACGTTGATCTTGCGCGTGCGTTGAAACGCCGATGTTGCTCAATGGACTGGAGCAGAGCCGCGGTAGCGATCGAAGGGTCTCCTCGAGGCGGAGAGTAGCCTCTGCGAGCAGTTTCCGCCCAGGAGGGTGGTCTGGGAGCCGCTTCGTCCCGAGGATGTGTTCTTGATCTGCTGTGAGAATTCCTGAGGCTTTCCAAATTCAGCTGTCTGCTTTGCGGCCGGACTGATTGCGCAAAGGTGGGGACATTTGCGCGAGACAGCAATTCATGGTATAAATCTTCGTCGTCTGATCCCGGAGCCCAGTCATACAAAGACTGTCGTTGAGGCACGCGGTTGGCATAGCGTGTGCCTTCATCTTCTCGTAATATGGGTATTCTTCGACTCATCCCGACGTCAAAGCCGGGCTCTCGTAGTAAGGCAGCAAGTCTATTGTCCGCACCCCTCCACTGACTGTTGTCTTCAGGCTCCTCACCGACAGACTGTTCCTGGTAGAGCGATAACGCTGTAGCCCCTTGCAATCGGGTTCGCAGAGAGCTTATTGTACCGTTGCTTGGAAGTGCATCAGCTGGCGTTGTCAAAGTCGCAGCCAAGTCTGGGACAGGGCTGGAGATGAAGTCGAGTTGGTGAAGGTAGCGACCCGTCGTCTGCGGCGAGAATGAGGGACTTGGCTTTTGTTGTCGTCAGTACCGATTGCATGCCAGTCGCAGATCGCAGATCGCAGATAGCAGATGCGCAGTACACAGAGACGATATACTTACAGCTGTTGAGTTGGGTGGTGGCATGGTTCGAACGACCGATGAAACCAAGCCTCGAATACCTGCCAGGTCCGAGTGCCGAGTGCAGCCCTAACTCCCTAACTTACCGCCTAACTTACAGCATGGGAAGCTTAGTAAGGCAGGAATGGCGAGCAAGGTTGCAGACAGTCAGGATTGGCTGCAGTCTTGCCCACTGGCTGGCTGACCAAGTAACACAAGACACATTACTGATGGCATTCCTCTAGATTTCAGGAAGAAGGTGGGCACCAAGCTGTCACAGACGGCTCACACAAAGAGAAGAATCTCTCTAAGCCACGGTCGGCGCTTCAAAGAGGCATTTAGTTAGATTACTGTATGCTGAACATGCCGCAGCACCAAGGAGGCTTCAGACAGGTCTCGCACTTCAATCGCCACCAGCCTTTTGTTTATCTTTATCTTCATTGCTATCTTCATCTTTATCCGCAAACACGACACGGCTCTGGCCCATCTCGACGGACTCCGTAGTAGCGTAGTGGCGCTGCCAGAGAAAGCAGTCGGACCACTTCCCGCTGCTGCACGTCGAGAACCCTGTTGTGACACAGCAGGAATCGGGAAGTCAGATATTTGGGAACAGGGAGACCAATGACGGCCGGTGTATTGATCATGACTAGGCGATAGTGTTGCGTCTTATCGACAGTCTTATTTCGAGCAGGCCGCAAATTAGGCGCAATCTATCCCAACCTAGTTACGACGTATTGCTGTTCTACACTATCGTACAAACAGCGTACATCTCCATGCGGGTTTGCCATTATTATTGTCACCCCCCACTTCCCAAACAGCAGTGATAAGAACAAGAAGCTGTTGTTGAGCTCGAAAATGCAGAAACTCAATCACAAGATGAAGGTGGTCTTTTCGACCAGGATATTGCCCAAATGTAGCCAGCTCCAAATAAATCGCTCATGCCATGCTCGCTGCAGATGAAAGGCAGATAGAAATCAGGTAGGAACAACCTGTGACTAGACATCGATAAGCAGTTCTTCAAGAGACGACTCCCAATTCGCTATCCTTAAGACCACCATCACCGTTCCCATTGCCTCCTATTTCGGTGCCATTTCCAAGTGCAATCGAAAAGGTAGCAAAATTCAAGCTCAGGTCCACTCCTTCGGAGTTTAAAGGCATAGTGTCATTTCGGCTTGCCCGATTGAGTAGGAAGTCTTGGATATTATCCTGAACTTGAACTGCCGTGTTGAGCTGGCCAGATTGCTCAAGGACGAAGAGCACAGCTATACCAGCAAAATCAATTGTCTCAGGGCTAGGACTTTGGCTGGATGATGGAGATGATGAGGAGGACGAGGACGAGGACAAGGAGGAGGAGGAGGAGGTGGTGGTGGTAGAAGCGGAGGTTACGGAAGATGAAGGTGATGATAATGATGATGATGATGACGACGTCGACGACGATATAGGTATCGCTGACGCGGTAGAAGTCATCACAAAGACAATTCCATTAACGGTCGCAATCTGACGCTGCTCGAGCCGTGATGGAAGATCTGCTTGAGGAGCGGGAGTCGGTCGCAATGACGAGACGGAAACAGAGGTGGGAAGCAGAGTCTCAACAGCGACCTTCTGCGCAATATCCCGAACTTTCATGCTTTGGCTACCAAAGGTGACTAAAGCGTTCTCGCCTGTGCATGACAAGTTGTTCGAGGAGAACAGGCTCAAGATCACTGTGCTGTTCAAGGAGATACCATAGTTGGTGCTGGCGCCAATCAGGAGCCGATGTATCGCATTGCCCAATGTGGCGTTTGTGTACTGTTCCGTTCCGGTCATAATATCTGGTGTTGTGCATCCTGGACCAGCGACAGTGCTGCAACGGTCACCAGTGAAACCATTGACGCAAACACAGCGGCATGCATCGCCGCTGATAACACTAATACCGCCATTCTGACAAGGGACGGAAGCCGGACAATTCTCAAGACTCGATGGACCAGTAGCGTTCGCGGCAGCCCGCCGCTGGCGAGGAAGAACAATGAGCACAATCGGCACCACAATCGCTGCCGATATTAAGATCGCGAGAAGGAGCATAATAATGATGAAGGCACACAAGGACATGCCGCAGCAGCGCCGACCGCTCCGTGGCGTTTGGGCGCTGCCAGATTCATGTGAGCCCAGGTACGACATTCGTTGGTTGAGTTTCGAGGGGAAGGGTGATGGCCACCTCGACTCGATGCGTGCTCCATCTGGAGTACCGCGACTTGGAGGAGGAAATGAGGCAAGGATATCTGATATTGAACCGGATCGCCGTCGCTGCTGCTTTTTCTCAGCGTTGAACATGTCAAACAATCCTGTTCTGCTGGCTGTCTTCCCACGATCCAGGTTAGCCGCAAGTCGAGTTGCTCTCCGGATCAGATCGGGTAGACTGGTTATGCTGGCTCGAGCTTTAGAGTCTCTGACTGCTTCCATGTCCAGCTGTGGCGGTCTATGGTTTGACGGAACCTTTTCACTCATTGAAGGACCCTTCGAAACCGGCCGGTTGTCGACACCCAATGGACTGGCGGGCTGGCGAGCACTTCGACTAGCTGCCGAAGCAAGTGGAGATCTTGACCTGCCAATTGGTTCCACGAGTGTGGAAGAGCCCTTGCCACTATCCCGTGACGATGACCGCGAGTTGGATGGAGAACTTTCTATTATGATTGTGCGATTTCCACTAGTCACCTGTGAGGGACTGTCTCTACCAGGCGGTGTAGGAGTATTGTCACGGCTCGACCCTAGCGCGCCTGCAGCGACACCTGCCGAGATAGTGCCCAAGCCAATGGCTTCCTTCTTTCTACTCGAAATATTCTCAGCTGGATTTCGGATCTTCGTTAACGATGGCTTCATCTTCTTGCCCGCGCTGGCGTGTCGGACAAGTCCAGTAGTGTCATCATGCATCGATACGGTCGAGTATGGTGAAGCGGGAGAATTCCGAATCCCTTCTTCCTCCTCGGTCCTCTTGGGAATTCTATCGGAATTGTAATCGTCGGGGTGTGAACCCCAGCTAGAAGGTACCACTTTGCTGGAAGCATATGAAGCACGCGCCTTGGAGTTTGAATCCGTGCTCTCTTCTAGAATGGGAGAGAATAATGTTCCGTGAGGATATTGAGCACCTCCACCTCGTCTAGATGAAGAAGGCGGTACCAATTGAGTTTTGCGAGGGGCACCCGATGGGGGGGTTGTGTTCTTGGATCTGGGGAGTTCGAATGTTGAAGGCGTGGAGACATCCTCCGACGAAGTTCCTTCATCTGAACTTTGACCATGTGTTGTCTTTGGTGAGACTTTCCTTGATCTTTCCCAATACTGTGCAAGATCGTCATTGGACTTAGGGGGAGTCCTTGAAGGCAAGTAACTTCGAGCCTTGGCTGCCTGAATAGGCATGACTTCGTTCGGGCGAGGCGGTCTGGAAGGGTGCGGACCACGGGGAGAGAACGGCTGGGTAGAGTTGGCAGGTCTATTTGGAGAGCCGCGCCCAGTTGGAGAGCCGATGGGAGTACTATACTCGGATGCGGGACTTTCGTTTGGTCTTTCTCGAAGCTTCTGGGCTGGACTCGGACCAGGTCCGTAATGAGATGGGTTTGCCGAACCTGAAGATGGCGCTGGGAAATGCTTTCGATCCATCTGATCAGATCCCTTGGTAAATCTTCCTGGGATCACCAAGCACGCGGTGGCTGACGACTAGGGTGGGTATCCGTCACCCTTCCACGACAATGCATAGCATAACACTTTCCACACGGGATAATCCGTCTTAAGAGGCCGTATATGTCGGATTGCCCAAGTAGGGCTCTTCGGAGAGAAAACAACTCGAGCACGTATTCGATGAAGACTTGAATGTGAGAGGATGTCAATGGGGCAGGATGCTGAAGTTCCAGCGTTCGGGGTAGGATAGGTCTCTGGCAGCGTTGATAATCCTGAAGCTGCTCAACGGAGGTATTGGATGAGCTTGCTCTGCAGCGAGGAATGAAGTTGGGAAGGACGGGGAAATCGGAAACTTCGGAAGATCTGCTGAGACTTGCGCCGGATAGCTTCAGCTTGTCAGGATTGAATAGAACAGAGAAAGACGGCGAGAACCAGGACGTCGTTGTTGCACCAGGCGAGAAGTGAAGGCTGATGCAACAGAAGCTCACTACATAATGGTGAAGCTGCTGAGGTTGGTTGAGCCATTCCCGAAGAGACGAGCAACAGGCACGCTTGTACGGTAACTTATCGAGCATCATTACCATGGGTGTGCAGAAATGAGATGGGGGACACAAGCGGGAACGATGGCTGGAAGGGAACAGATCTAGGCTGGAGGGCTGTGATTGGGGGTTAGTGCCTTGCTGAAGGGCTGGTGTGTCAGTGGCGCGTCTGCAGGAACAAGGTCAGTTAAGTTAGGCTGCGTACTACTGCGTACTAAGTCAAGGTGGACCCCACAAGCCACGTTGGAGAACATGGCAAAATGTTCCAACAAACATAGCCACAAGAAACATAAAAAGATGCTGCTGGCTGTAGGTTGCACAATTGACTCAGGCCCTGATCCACCACATGCGCATGTAGTTGTGTATTCCTGTACACAGACACATAACCCTCATCGTCCATCGCCTTGGGGAGCTGTATTCCGGCACTTCTCCTCGTCACACCAAAGCAGTGGGGACTTCTACCTCTTAGCGAGATGACAGGAGCATCCGATATCACCTGGACGGGGGGTTTACACTCTGGTGATCTTTGGTGGGTGTGCAGCTAAAGGCATATTTCAAATTGATGGCAACGCCAAGTCCGCACTGCCTCGGGGGCCGGCCAAGTGTGTTTGAGAAGTGGGAGGGATCAAGGTATGATTGAAGGAATTAAGGGTTACTACGGAGGGATTGAGGGCATTGACCGGTTGACAGCCCCCTCGGGATGTCCTGGAAAGATCTCACAATTACGGCGATACGAAAATAATACTCAGTTACTCACCGCAATAATGTGTTCAGTTATAAGTAATGAGGAGGTAAACTACCCCCAAGCTACTGAAGTAGCCCTTCTCTGCCGGTAGCCGCTGCTAAGCCACATTCAGCCAATCAGGCATCCCAATCCCAGATCAAAGCGATTGCTTCTCTTCTCTCCTTCTCTTCTTCTCCTCTCTGGGACGAGTCGAAACCATAATCGCAAACAACCAAAGTCATCTTATGTGGTGTGTCTTCGAAGTTCCATTCAATGAATTGCTGTACTGCCCCAAATCAGCAAAGAGACAGTGCTGGAACCTTGAGAGATTTCCGACATCTCCCGTTTTTATATGCGAGACAATCTCCCGCTCAGGAACATCATCCCTGTTCTCGACAACTCGTAGGTCTTGCATAGGCCATCATCTACTTGTGATCTCACATCATCAAAATAACGCAGAGAGTGGTTGCCCTCCAGCTCAGAAGGGATGTAGGTACCTCTCTGAGGCGCTTGATCAACGAGGCTAGCAACCTGTGTGAGGAATGACTCGTATAACCGCTGGTCCTCCGTCCAGAATCAGCCTCTTCATTTGCTTGACACTATTCCTTTTATCTCCTAATCAACACAGGACTTCAGGCCAAGTCCGTCTGCAGATACTATGCCACAACCAGCATTTGTCTGTACTCAGTCGCACCTTCTGCGGTGTTGCAAACCTTGCTACCGCTTTCCTCGCCCCCGATGCTTCTTGAGCTTGAGCTGCTATTGTGCTCAGTGAATACCCGTCCCAAGAAAATGGTCTTTTACGAATTGTGCATGTTTTTCTCTGTAGTCCTCTTCAACTCTGTCACTGTCGTCTTTCTTTGATTTTTTGCTACTCAGCGTTTGAGCGCTTGGTGATCTCTCTTTTCCGTTCTCGTCCTCGTCCTCGTCCTCGTCCTCGTTTTGTCGTACAATGAAAGTCCTGTCAGAGTCAAGTCCTCCCGTGGATGGATGCAGGTCACCACAGTCAGGTTATGAACCAGCAACACCAGGTCGTGCGTTCTCCCACGCCACCTCGCTGTTGTGTAACGTCCATCTCTTATTGCGCCTGTTATCGGACTCATGCTAATGCTGCAGCCGTCTCGCAGCGCCAATCGAGGCTCCAGACAGGCTCTCGTCACACGCTTTCTCACTGGTACCGCAAACGGCCAACCTACCTTCTGCGGACGAGGAGCAGCTTGTTGCCCTGCAATCAACAGCGCCCAGCACTCCTTCTGTGTCGCTTTCAAATATTGGTAGGAAACGCTCCCTTGTGTCACCATTGGCTAGATCGGGAGCTACTCCTGGTTATGTTTCCCAGATGCAAAGAATATTTCAGGACGCAAAAGCCTCACTCCAACTCGACGCGGCCATTGCAAGCTCACCCACTGGATCGATTGCTTCAAGGCTGCCCGGCATACCAGCCAAGATGGTCGGCCGTCACCATTGCAACACTGTTGGCTTCAATGCGACGAATTGGAGATATTCCACTGTGCCTCAGGGCTTGGCAGACGCAGACTTGGATGTCAGAGAACCTTTCCCTGTGGAGTCTCCTGGGCTCCCGGATCATGATCTTGTCAAAAAGCACACACGGGCCGTGGCTCAAGAGCCAATCAGCAGTGGCTTCACCTCCCCGGTTGCAGCTGAAATGAATGATGCTGTAATGGAAACCACAGCTTCTCTGCCTCTTCTACCTATATTTAGCTCAACCAAAAGCGACCAACCCACGGCAAGCCCATTGGCAAGTTCTGGCTACCGCCAGGACCCGGCACTTGTTATGACGTCCACAGAACTCGAGCAACCAATGACGAATATGCATATAAGTCACGTCGACGCTTGGCTGAATGGCGTTCTCCAGGATTCGCCCAACGAGCAGCGAGAGAAGAGGATTCGCTCGACAGACGATAAATTGCGTGTCTCACCTGCTCACGATGTGGTTGATATAGATATGGATAACTCCAAACTTCCACAAGAAATCATCTTATCAACGCCTGCAAAGGCCGCCGCGGAGTCTGCTAAGCTCAAGCGAGATCTGCTGGGAATCGGAGTGAGAACATCTGGCGACAAAGAGAGCGTCAGACCAGAACCTCGCAGTGCCAGTAGTGCTCTTCGCTGCACAACTCCAACCGCGAACCTCTTGAGCGTACCTACTGTACAAATTACTCCATCGCCAGATTTTCCTCATGGTTCTCCACCACCTAGTCCAGTCCAGCCGGTACAGCTTACTCCTGCTCTGCCTTTTCGACGAGTTGATTCGACTGGCAGTCCTTTCCCAATCCTGAAAGAGAAATCACCTAACCCGGCAGTGCGAGGCTATTACTCACCACCACCGCATCAACAGTTTGCTTCTCCCCCACAGGGGCCCCAAACTTCGCCTCCGCCCCATCAGCAATACTCTACACTTTATTCTCCTCCTCAAGAACATCACACAGGCCCATGCGCCTCTCAGCACTATCCTTCTATCGAACAATCTACATTTCATAACAAACCTCCTCCTCCTCCTCCAGCTGCTCCATGGTCCCAACAATTGATATACCTCCATGGGCCACCACTCCACCGTACACCTTCAGAGGTGGCTTATTCTCCTACTGCAGATCGGCCATATTATTCGTTCTCAACTGCGGCCGCAGCCCACTCAGGCTCTTCCGCTGCACCTGACTCGAGAATCAGGGATGCATACCGCACAGACACCCTGACGCCATTCGAAGTGCCTACAACGCGATTCCGTAAGATCGGCCTTGGCGCCACTGCCCAAATGAAAGGTGCTACTCATCGCACTGCCTTTGCTGTGCCAGCCGCAAGAACAGCTAGACCAGCCCCATCAAGAGCACCAACAGCTAGCGGGAAGCGACCTCCTGCCGCCAATGACCCCAGGATGGGGCTTTCCAGAGCCAATACCGCGGGTGCAAGGAAATACTATGCGCATACCCAGCGGCGTCCAATAGGAGGACCGGTGCCAGAGGAAGTGACATTTAGGAGTAGTCCTCCGAGACCGGCAGGTCAGTTTCATGCGGCCCCGAGGCGGAAGAAAATGAGGAGGAGCCTAAGCGGGGTGGATGGGTTGTCGCTTACCAGGCAAGAGAAAAAGGGTTGTCATAGTGAGAACAGGGAAGGGGCTGAGCTTGAAAGGGGTATACATATGGAACTGCGGGTCGATGAGGAGGGGAGGTTTGTTGGGGGAAGTCCAGCACAGGATGGCGTAACGACCATTCTTAGGGGTCGGGCTCAAGGAGACGTGGACAATGAAAAATCTTCGGTCAATGCGGTTTGCGAGAACCAGAGGATGCTTGTGAGGAAATCAGCGTCGACCGTGAAACACCATCTCGAGACATCGCCAACACCATACCAGAAGCTACCCGCTGATCAACGAGGCGAAGAAGAAGAAGAAGTTAGGGAGCTGAGCCCCTATGTCAGTCCTTACCGGAAGGGAAAGGGTCCCAAACTCCGCGATGAGGAGAGGAGGCCGAGTTATTGGGATAGCGATATTTTGCCCACTGGCGTCGTCATCACTGGTCAGCGCGGACGGAGGGAAGGTAGGAGGTTTGGGGACCAGGCTGAGCGTAGATGGAAGGCGAACATTGAGGAGATGCCGGGGGGCGAGGAGAAAGAGAACTGGGACCCGGAACCGGGACTAGATGGAGAGAAGATGGATGGTGATGGTCATGATGGTCATGGGGTGGAAAGAATGGAGATTGGGGAGTGAATACTGGGAAGAAAGGGGTTTGTTAATGCTTTCAGTGCTTTACGGGGAAAAAGGGGTTGGATGGATAAGGGAGAAGCTTTTCTTAATAACGGAAATGAAATAGCGAAACAGGTTGTCCGATGCAGCAGCTGCAGCGGTTACTGCTTTTGGTTGTTCCCCCCCAATTCACTTAGCCGGTGTGACATGTCAATATTTGTTTGTATACCATGTGTAAGCATTGAGATACAGTCAGAATTATAGATGCTATATTCTGCATTTGGAGGGTGCTTGTGATGGGCATATTATGGCAGCGTGCTTTGATCAGTGGGTTGGCTAGCTAGTAATTATCGATGCAATTTCAACATTCTAGGACTTGGACACTCTTCGGTTCGTGAGGAGGGGCTCTCCTTGTTCCTCCAGCTGACATCTTGCCCTTGCTGGGGATTACTCTTGTCCTCGTCCTCGTCCTCGTCCTTGGAAATTGCCCCGACCGTCTAAATCACCCCCTCCCTTCTTGGAGATGTTGGACCTATCTCTCGGCATCCGCATTCCATCTGTCATCTGCATCGTCCTGACCCGTCAAGCGGGTGAGCCCGGCTTCGGCCCTCAATTTCCGGATCCGGGACTCTAAATCCGTCATCTCCAGCTGGATGTTGAGGAGGTGCGGGATGGGCCCTCCGACGGCGCATGCGAAGGATGTTTGGGCGGCGCGGAGGGATGCCGGCACGAGGACGCCGTACCAGTTTAGCGGGTTGGGGGGTTTCTTGGACTTAGACTTGGACCTAGGGTGCGGGTTTGTGGTATGGTCTGGAGGCTGGGTTGGGGAGAGGGAGGATGGTGAGGTTCGAGGGAGCCTGGTGTTCGTGTTGGGATCGGCGGTTCGAGTCGACGACGGCTTTTCATCACGAGGAGAAATCAAAGCTTGCGCTGTCATCTCGCTGGGGACTGGACTGTGCGGTGTGGTGTCATCCGGGTCCTCACCGGCTGGGATGAGTTGTTCGGTGGTGGTGTAGCGTATCGTGCCTCCGCTGGAGTGCGACCCTCGTGGATCAGCTCCCTCGACATGCTTCCGACACGCTTCAGCCCCAAGCACGTCGTCGGCCTTGGCCTTCGTTTGGATCCTCACCCTCCTCCCTGCTTTCATGCGCGCATCGTATCCCTCCTCGCCGTAACGGCGGGGCCAAGGAGAGGAAGCCGGCGGAGAAGGTCTGGGAGAGTTCTGCCCGTAACGTCTGATATGTATCGAGACGGTCGAGGTAGATCTCTAGGAGGGCGTCGAGGCGCGATATTGGGTCGGAGGTCTCCTGAGCGTTTGGGGGGGATGGGGAGCTGGAGGTGGAGGTGGAGGTGGAGGATGCAGGGGGGGTCGGTAATACTGGGGGTTTGCTCATTGGGTGGTGAGATTGATAGCCCAGAGGGGGAGAATTCACACACTCTCGTTGATCTTGTGCGAAGCGTACTACGGTAATTTGTAATAATACAAGTACGATATTCGTATCACACTAGCAGTTACCATAGTACTACGTATGTACGGGGTAAGATTGATTGGCAATTCATCATACGTGGTATTGAATCCGTATTGAAGCCTAATCACACTCTTACACAATGTGTCATCTTCTATCTTTCTCTCTTGTCCTCCCTCCGTCAAACCCCTTTCCCCTCCCCCTTCCTCCCGATCATCTTTACATCTTTACATCCTTGGAAGCTGCAGTAAGTCGTCATCCAAACCAACCTTCAACTGTCGTATGTCGTATGTCGTGCAGGGGGAGCAGACAGTCCACCGAGTTCCGCCTCTTCTCTTCGCCAGAGCTCTGACTGCGAAGTTGGAGATCAACACATGCTTTGGCACTAACCTTGTTCACGCAGATATGTGGACAGCGCTTGATGAAGCGAACATCAGGGGGATTCTTAGGACATTTTACAATAAGATTTGTCCCATCTCGTTAAAACACGAATCTTTACACAATCGGGCCACTGAGTCATGGAGATATATCCAAGCGGCAATATTCCAAGCGAACGAAATCGAATTATCCTGGGCTCGCTCTGTTCGTAGAGGCCAGAACCCGCTTCTGGCTTTGAGGCTGGAGCTGGTGCTGGTGCTGGTGCTGGAGCCGGAGCCGGAGCATGCTTCGAAGAATTTCCCGCACAATAATACCACGACCTTTGTCTGGCGAGGTAGCTGAGTACCTTCGAGTCTTCCAACGTCATGATGAAATGGCAGCAGGTTCAAAGATGCTGGGGCACAAACCGTGCAGAGGTCTGTTCGTCTGTTCATCCTTTCAGGTTCGGTGTGCAGCATAACTAAAGAGGAATGTTGTATCCGTTTTCATCTATCTAGCATTCCCCCTTCCTTTATTGCGTTCTTGTCCACCCTATAAAATCCCGAGTCACTACTCAACATTCCATCTGCCTGGTTTTCACTAGTTCTTGTCACGTTTCGTGGTGGTTTGCATATAGTTACATCAACAAAATATTCGTCCTATACACTTCGCCATTAGCTGTCAAGATGTTCTGGTCAGTCTCCACATTGAAATTTTGCGTGAGAAATGTTGTCATTGGGTCTAACCAGTGCACAGTGAGATGAGTCCGCCCATGCGGAATTCTGTCGTCAAGCTCAATGAGCAGCGCTTCCGACTTGGATCGTCAATGATATGCGAGCAAACTGATGTAGCGGATCCCTCCAGCCTCCTTGCCAGCTGGCAGGACAATGGGAAAACTTTCATTCTACGCAAAGAGGCGGTGCATGAGTATAATATGCTACCGAGCACCTCACCCGCCAACATGGTGCATGAAGCCGGCACGTCAGCTGCGGTTTGGCTGCTAGGCAAGGATACATTCTGCAAGGTCAAAGGATGGTGTGAGGGCATGGAAGCAGAAAGCGAGACGATTGATTTTGTCCGGACGCAATGTCCTGATATTCCTGTGCCAGAAGTTATTTTCTCTTGGATCGACACTGATTGGTCTCGCTCCTTCACGCTCATCAAAAGGGTCGCTGGGAAGACGTTGGACGAAAGGTGGCCTTCGCTATCTCCGTCACAGCGATCTGAGATTGTCGACAAGGTTGTTGAGTATTGTAAGAAGCTTTCCATGGTCACGTCGTCAAAGCTTGAAAGCGCAACAGGAAAAGGTCTCTGCGACAATCACCTCAATGTTGCTGCCCCTGATAGTCATCCCACTTGGAAGCCACGACTGCTTGGTCCCATGTCGGGTGACGACTTCAAGGAATTTCTGCGCCAACGAACCAGCCGAGACGCGCAAGGCATTGTTCCCTCTGTTGGCGAGCATTTTCTTTTCTACCATGCCGACCTGGGTCCCACCAATATCATCATCTCCGAGGATGCGAAGGTGACAGGAATCTTGGACTGGGAGTGTGCCGCTTTCTTTCCTCGATTCTGGCTCGCACTTAAACCGGGAATCAGTGCTGGCTTTTTCCTCAGTCGCGAGTCTGTTGGCGAAGACAAAGCGGCCCGATTCGGCTGGGGCGACCCTTTCTACAAGGGCTTGATGGCACAAGGCTTTGACTCTACCGATAGTGACCTCGCCTGGTGGAAAGGCCTGGCCAAGTGAATCATAAGTTCCCTAGTGACACTCGGCCCTACTTGGGAGAAGGGAGAAGAAGGTTAGATCCCGACATTTGGCATGAGCTTGCGCTTTGTGGAGGAGTTTGGTCATCTCAGAAAGGCCAATGTCTCCAGTATCTGGGATTCATGCAAAGTCTTCCCACTAAACTCTGTGCTAATGACAAAACCTTGAAATTCTCAATCCGTGAAATATCCCAAAAAGAAACTGGTACGCAACAGATTGCCTTCTAGCTCAAAACCTGGCCGGCCTTCGCCCTTCGCCCTTCACTTCTTTCCCTCCCCCCCTCTCCTTTCCACAACAATGGCAGCAAAATACATTGCTGCTCACCGGCATAAGATCATCAGCAGCGCTGCTGTCGATGCATCTGAGAGGAGTTAGTCTGTGAAAAGTTGCAAAGAAGCCTTGATCAAGTACCTTCAGGCCTTCTTTCCCTGATGAACCTTTCCACTTCCGCCAGTCAGTTGCTGCTTGCACCATTCGCACTCGCCGGCGCCGGTCATGTTGTTCATCTTGCAGGTGCAACAATTCTCTTGGTCGACAGGAATGCTGATGGGGGCTTGGGCCATGGCGACAAGGAAGGTTACCGTGTTGCGCGCTGGTTTAGATAGGTGGTGTTGTGGTCAAAGACGAAGGCTGTGGTGTTCTGGATGCGGTTTGGAAGCAGCGAGAAAGAGAAGAGAGGATGTGCCGTGTAGAGATGAGTAGTAGGGTCTGCCAGTCAGTCGCTTCACGAGAACGACGACCACCTTTATACAGTTTT